AGGAAAGAGTGATGTGACCCACAGCATTTCTTCACCTACCAGGCAGCATCACTCTAGTTGTATAAATACATTTGGAGCATAAGCAACCTGAGTCCCAACACAGAAGAAAACTGCTTATTACATACTCTCAGTGGCATGAGGAGGCATCTAACTGATTTTTCCTTTCTAGTAAACAGTTATATTGCAGAAAATTGAGTCCTTAAAACCTGGATTTGCATGCTGAACATACTGCAAGACCTACCATTTAAATGGGGATATTCATGACCGTTCTCTAAAGATTCCTAAAGTACAGCAGAGAAGCACTGCTAAGAAAAAGAATCACCACCTCCTCAACTTGCAAAAGTTTGCAACACCCAAAGCAGAATTAAGGATTAACTTCTACAACAATTAAGTAGGTAAGCACCACAAAATTTAACATGAAGTGTTATTTCTGGGTTCTCTCAATAGGTGGAAAACCACCAAAAGTTGTAAACTGAAAAGAAAGCATGTTTCAGTACCTCATGCTTCTTTTCCAGAAAAGCACTTTTCTTCACCCGATGAAGAATCACTTGTACTGCTATGTAGTGAGAGCTATGTCCAACACAACCAAGCTGACTTGTTCTCACATTCTTGTGCTTTGAGGGGAGACAGTAAAGTAGGAAAAGGTTTTAAATAACTTCCTATTTTTTTATTAACAATGCTTTTGATTGTTAGAAACAGGGTGTCAGGAGTATTGTACTTCTGGAATAGAAATACAACAGTCAAGTTTCTCACCAACGTGTGGAAGTTAGCCTATACAAAAAATATAAGACTGGTCTTGGATTTGTCCTCATGCAGCTGTATCAGGCTACAGTTATCCATCCACTCAGGAGCTGTATTTTCAAAGCAGCCCTCTCATGGCATTCACTCTGAGGTATTTCTACTTTGCAGACAAAGAGAAGCCAGCACAGAGGAGGTATGGAAGGACTGACTACTAGTCAGGGAACTGCTGGTCTATACCAGCAGGTATAATTTGCATGCACGTGTGAGATTTATAAAGATAAACCTCACATTTAGAGTCTGGCAGTTTTCACATTTGAGCTGGACCACTAAATGGTGATTGAGGTTTCACTCCAGAAGAGAATGAGCAGGCAAAGAAATGGAAGATACCTCTGACAGAAGGAACGTCATCTAAATCTTATACTGTTAACTACAAATGTTTAGTAGAAATAAGAAGGTGCTGCTAAAGAGTATATAATTAAAATGTTTATTTATACTCTTTTTCTTTGAGTAATTCAGCTGCCTCCAAGTTTAGGGCATTTTAATCAAGATATTACAATTTAATTTACAGTATAAATTCTTCATTAGTTCATGGCTAAATCTGTAAATGCCCTTATAAACAGAAAGGCATACAGAAGTAACATACAACCAAGTATTTTGGTATGAATGTACTGAAAAAAATAGGAACAATTAAAGGAGGACAGCCTTTAAAAGACCTAAAACCTTTTGAACTCCTGCATTTCCTACCTGAATCTTAAAGTGTACTTTGATCATTGGTCTAATCTGCATACAGAACAGTATTTAACACTCTCTAACCAGCATATCTTATCCTTCAGTTTATGTAAACATCAAGAATATAAGAGACGAACTTTTAAAGCACAATGCTCCTTGAAAGAACAACAGAAATGGCAAAGCATCCCCACTTGCTAGCAATCACCTAGCAGTAACTAAACACCATTTCTTTCTTAGTACCAAATACACACACCCCCCTCCAAAAAAAACCCAGAATGGGTAACCTTCCTTTACCAAATTTTACTCTTCAGGAAGCACAAAATTAAAGGTCACAATCCTGCATGTGAAAAGATGTAGAAAGCATGTTCCTCCTAATGCCTTTGCAAGCCTTCCACTTGCAAACTCATCCCTTCTTTTAAAAGGGGGCCTTATGTCCCTTGTTTCCTGATGGTGTAAATTACCTGCATTGGACTCTGGGGTCCACAGTGTGTGAGACACTTCAGCAAGTTTCCCCATTTCATACTGTTATATGGAGTTTGGAGTTGTGTTTCATTGGACTTGGTGCTTTTATCCCTGTGGACTGTATTAGGATTCTAGTTCAAAAATCCCTTTTGGACAAAAGCTCAAGTTTTTGGCGCATTTCAGGATCAAATGTACTATAAATGCAGAAATATCTCTACCACTCCTTTGTCATTAAAATAGAAATCTTTTACTTCCTCACACCTTTTTCATAGCAGGTTTCAAGCAATTGATCTTTGCTTATCATGCATCCCATTTAAATTTACTACCAATTCATATTTGTCACCTGATAGTGAGCAAGTTCCTAGAGAGCAGTAGAAGGTGAAATCCATTAATGATCTCTGTCCTTAAGAATGGAAAGGAAATATCATTTGTAATTTCTTCCCTAAATTCAGAGGGGGTGGGGAGCATCACAAGAAGAAAAGGACAAACTACTGAGACTTCCTACTTTCTTTAGCTGTCATTTTGAATTGCCTGTAAGTGCTCCAGTGTTTGCTTCAGTGTGAGTGCACACAGGCATAACAAATGCCACCGAAAATCAAGAAATTCTGGTGAGGATTTAGAAATGTAAGTATCAGAACAGACAGTGTCCAATCGCCCAGTTGGTGGGGTTTGTTCACGGACAGTACATTTTATAATTATTTGTTGTGTAAACATTAGTTCCTTCACTTATGAGCAGTATTAATGTGAAATATCAGAAGCTATCATATATTAATATTATTTTATTACTTCATTTGCCACTGGACTGCTTTTTCTTATGCAAGCAGGATCTTAAGAGTAACGCAGGCTGTACAGCAAATGATGTTTTGTGAGCAGAAGCAAAGAGTAACTTAACTAAAGCAGTGATACAACAGCAGTGTGATATCCATCAGTATCTTAAAAGAAATTATAGCAATGGCATAGAACAGTAGATTCACAGAATAAACTTCAGCCACGCCCATCCTGGCTGAAGTCTCATGCTAATTCTTGCTTCAAGTAAACAACTAAAAGCTGAGTTAGCCTCTTTTGGGTAAGAATTTAGCATGTTACAGGACACTCACTAGACATTTGATTTTGGAATGTTAGGAATCACATTAACACGACATAGTATTTGTGCTGCAGAGAGATATGCTCATGTCATATATGTACCAGCTGAACTGATTCTCATGAACACATTTACCTAAGAACACCCTTCCTAATCTAATCTTGAAGTTATATGACTTCATTTATAAGAAATTTCTTGCTTCTGTAACCGTCATTGTTTACTATAAAGCTGATGTACACTGGAAAAAAAAATGTGTTTACAGACTACAGAAGCTCTGGTTTGAGTCACAGACCTGAAATGGTTTCCAATACTCAAATATCCACAAAGATCAGAACTCTTGAGTAAGTTATGCTGAAGGACATCTGTATTTGTTTTTCAAGGAAATGCCATCTATCCCAGACTAAAAAGGGAGTCTATTCCTCGGAGATCACGGCCGATCCCATGAGAGCCCAGCTCTGCTCAGCTCCAGTGGGATTCACCCTCTCGGTCCCTCGGCATGTCTTTGGTCTCACCTAGCTAGAGCTAGCTACTTCCAGAAAAATCACTTTTGTCTAACTATGTATCCAGCTGGTAACTGGATACACAGTTAACTTGTTATTAAAACTTGTTTTTCTCTACGGATGTTTTCTGGTGAGTACAAGGTTTTCCCGAGCACACAGCCGGCTGAGTGTAAAGGGACAGTGGCTTCTCCAGCTCTCGACTCGAGCAGGCACTTGCAGCACGGTGCTCCCCCCTTTCCCTACAAGCACTCCCGAGGTCTGAGTCACATCGAGTTAAAATCAGCCGGGAGATCTCTTCGCCGTGCCTAGTGCCAGGCCGGCGGTGGGTGCGGCAAAGGCCCGCCCGGCGGCCGTGAGACCGGGCACCGGGGCTGGCGCGGGGGTCACCCGCGGAGCCGGGACAGCTGAGCGCCGGAGGGCTGCGGAGGAGCAGCCCTGCGCCCGCCTCTCCCCGGGTATCGGATACCCCCTCCCCGGGTATCGGATACCCCCTCCCCGGGTATCGGATACCCCGCGCGGCACTGCGAGCTGCCGCCTGCCCTCGGCGGCCGGGCGGGCGGCAGGCGCGGCGGCCGGGGGGGCTGGTCGGGGGCACGGCGGGGCGGGGCGGCCCGGCCCTCCGCGGGCCCGGCAGCGGCGGCTCTCACCTCCCTTGCAGGGCGTGCGGTGCTGGCTGTGCTGCGCCCGGTAGCCCTCGATCACCTCCCACTCGCCGTTGTCGCGCTTGATGGGGAAGGAAACGCTGAGGACATGGTTGCAGGGCTTGATGATGCGGAGGATGCCGCGGACGCGGTGGCGCCGCTCCTCCATGCCCTCGCGGGTGCGCAGCCCCTCCACCAGCTTGTCCTCCACGATGCTGGCGCCGCGATCGAAGAACCCCTCCACCATCTTGAAGAAGTTGGGGTCGTCCTCCTTCTTGGCCGCCTCGCAGTAGTGCCGCCGCGGACACCGGCCGCCGCCCCATGCCGCCGCCACCGCTGCCCCCCCGGCCGCCGCCGCCGCCGGCCCGCCCGGCTCCGCGCCCGCCAGCACCGAGCCGGCGGCCAGGCGGGACGCCAGCAGCTCCCCCAGGTAGCGGTACATGGCGGCGGCCGCCAGAAGCGAGGAGCGGAGCGGTGCTGCCGCTGTCACGGGAGGGGCGGGGGGCCGGGCGCCGCCGCCGCCGCCTTTAAACGCGGGCTGCAGGGGGGGCGGCGCGCCCGCGGCGCGCGGGGGGCGGGAGCTCTCCGCGCCCTCCGAGCGCGCCTGCGCCCCGCGCCCCGCGCCGCCCCCGGCGGGATTCGCGGAGGGGAGGGGGCGCGGCCGGGCCGCGAGTGCGCAGTGCGCGCCCGCCGCGCCGCCCCTTCCCTTCCCTTCTCTTTCCTTCCCGTGCCGTCGGGCCGGGCCCGCCGGGAGCGCGGCCGCCGCCCAGGCCCGGCCCCGCGCCGGCTGGCTGCGCTGCGGACAGCCCGGCGCGAGCCGCCCTCCCGTGCCGCCCTGCAGCCGCGCGAAAAACGAGCCGCGCCCGGGGGCGCGGGCGAGGGCGTGTCCCGCGCAGCGCTGCGGCTCCGGGCGCGGCCGCCTGTGCGGAACCCGCCTTTCCTCCTGTGCTCGAGCGACTGCCCTGCCGCCAGGGGACAGCGGCTCCGAGTAAAGGTGTTAGCATGGCTGCTTTCATAGAACCGTTAGATCCCTGAGCTTGGAAAAGACCTTGAGGTTTACCTACTTTGTCTGCTCGACTCTTTTTCATTTTACTGGGTCTTGCTCCGTTCAAGTACATCTTTTTTAATGTAGCTTAGGCAACATCTCTTAAGAATATTTCTTTAAGCTGTGTAAGGTCTGTTTTCAGAGCATGAAAGAGAGAGTGTGCTGTACTATTGAACTAAATTTATTTTAGAAGACTTAAGTGGCTTGTTCATTTTCTGTCGGTTTGGGCTGTTAATTGGAAAATACAGACGGTATTTTTTTCTTTTTAGGCTTGTGGGAGACCAATTCCCCTAAACCAGGAATAACCTGCTTATAATAAATTGCTTTATTGCTGTGGAATCTCTCTAACTACTCTGGGCTGTGCTACAAGGCTTGTGGGAAAGTAGTTTAACTTTTGTGTGTATTTGTCAACAGGGAGATTAGTCACAGATTCTTTAATTTACATAAACTCTTCAGGCAATGGGTGCTCTTTTTTTATCTTGATTTAGTATTGCTCTCTGTCCTAAATATCTGAAGTAGTTCTCTTAAGGACCACTAATGAGGCTGGTTTTTATCTGTAATGAAGATGGTTTGTAATTGTAGTCTAGAGAACAAAGATCCTTGATAGTGATAGAGGGGAAGAAAAGCAAGAAAGGAGCTTGTTCTTAGGCCAGTTTGTTCTTTGGATGTTCACACAGGACTTCAGACACAAACTTACTGATTTGGTTTTTTGTCCATAGTCTTGGTGGTTTATGGAAGACTTCTATTTTGGTGTTCATTTTCAGTTCACAGAACTGCAGTGTTCTCAGTGGTTGTATCAGCTTTGAGCTAGTACTTGATTTCAGTCATCTGCATGTTCTTAGCTAGAGCTCAATTTCTGTACAAGTTCTTAAATTTTGTAAATGCATAGGAAAGAAGGTGATGAGAGGTATTGTGGCGATTAGTCCTTATCAGGTAGTTATTTCCACCTTGTTCTGTAGGTTGGAATATCATTGCACAAACACAGAGGTTAAATGAAGAATGTGATTAGCCAGTTTGCTCAAGCATGTAGAATTAGAAGTTAAGGTTAATGTGCTTAGCTCCTATCCTGCTTTCAGCTGTGTTCTCTCTGATTTGTGAGCACGCTCAATTACCAGCTGCTTGCAGTATCAGCCTGCTTGTAGCACATGTTTTTGGATATATTTGAGACTGAGCATGGGATGTGACAATGAGAAGCACATGGATCTCTCCAGAGGCTCGGTCACACAGTTGTTTTTGAAGCAATGGCTCTACCATACCTACCCTCCTTTCTAAACAAGATTGGAATTTGGCAAAATATTTTTGTGTTGAATGCTGAGAATAATGAAATCAGCATGTTAAATTTATTAGTCTTTAAACACTGTAAGAGATAAGTAGGGAGTTTTATTTGGCATGTTTTTTTGACTGAAATAATGTTTACAGTTTACAGGCAGTTTACCAAACTCAGCAGGTCTGTACCAAATTTCTATTTGATTCATGTCCTTTCTGGAGGCAGGAGTTATGACACTATCTGTGTCCCTCATTCCAGAATTCTTACATACTAAGCAGTAAGCAGTTGAATCAAAATCAGTTTGCCAGAGGAAACTAAAAATGGCATGCTTCAGAATGAGTTCTAGCAGGCATGAAAGTGGTAATTGCAATAATAAAAAGAGGAACTGTATCTTTACTCTCATATACCATGTTGGGTGTCATCAGAAGCTTCACATTTGACTAGCATCAGTAAAATCAAAATTGCTGGGGTGGATTAAAAAATTACTTTTTGTTTTCACAGTCAGAATTTTCACTGACTTCATTCATTTCATACAAAGTTTTGGTCTTGGACTACATCTGAAGAGAGAGATAAGTAGAGGAAACTCAATACCTGTGTGGTAGAAACTGTTTGTATTATTCATGGACTTTGCAGCAAGGTAATTTTCAACTGTATGTACATGACAGGTATCAGTTTCTATTTAAAATCTGTGAAGTATAACTCAGGGAGACAACTTGATTTAATTTCTTCTAAGCTGGTATTAAAATACCTTATACATAAATTTTAACGGATTATTTTTATTATAGAGAAGAATAATAATGAACACTATTGTGCCTTCCTAAAGCAATCTACTGGTTTAAGGTGTATATTAGCAATTTCATAGCAGGTGTAGTAATTGTCTGTGTTGGATCTTAAAATTTTATTGAGAAAGGGATCTAAGACAAGAATCAAATACTTCCTGCTTTAATGCATTTATTAGTTGAAGTACTAGGTATTTGAGCTAAAAAATTCCCAGGGTGTACTGGGGCTGAATTCCCTCAGAAACTGAAATAGCTATTCCTGGTTCACATCCCAGTCTTCTTACCAGCTGACCACAGCAGAGGAGAAGGAGCAGAGAAGCTGCAAATCAGAGATCCACCCAGGGCTCTGGATAACTCTGCCCTTGTCTGCCTGAGCCCTCCAAATCCAGGGTAACCCTGGGGCTGCCTCCAGTGCAGAGTTTGAGCCTCCATTAGGCAACACACTGAGAAGGAAAGTTGATCTGTACAAAGGACCAATTAATTTCTGTGGTAAACTGCTTTCTGGGAAGACAAATTGCTTCTGAAATAGACTGCAGATGGAATTACAGAAAATTTCATTTTAAGTTGTGAAGCATACCACTTTAAGCACTTGATAGTTCTTACTCTTTGCTTAAAGAATTGATTGAGATAAATTGCAAGTAAAAATTGAAGCAAGTTTTTGCCTTTGAATTGCCTGTATGAGCATTTATGTTTCCCTTCCTCATTACACCAGAAAAAAAAAAAAAAAAAAAAGCCTATTTTTCTTGGGCTTAAATGTTATGCTGCACTGCTTTATGTAGACCTTGGTAATGTAACTAAATAGGTAAGAGCTGGGGTTATTTTCTTACCCCAAAGTGCTGCAGAAACTGCCTGCCAGATCTCTGGACAGTTGCATAATAGTTGCTGGGTGAATGGGAGGATATGAATCTGACAGGAATGTTAAGTGTGGTACTATTCACACACCTTCTGGCTAAAATCCTGTGTGTTTGTGTTAAATGGAGATGATGCAGATGAGCAGCAGATGTGTAGGACTTGACAGAAATCTTTCTGCATGGGACCTGCCTGCATACTGGGGGAAAATGCACTAAAATAGTAGCAAATAGAAGTCTAATTATTTTCCAGATCTTTAAGTTGAGATGTTCTCAAGTTTGTGGGTTTTATTTTCCATCTTCCCAATGCTTTAAAGTAAAAACTTCGTGTTTAACTGGTTTTGGCATAGGATGTAAAAATAGAGATGGCAATTTCTTTGTCTGCAGGAGAATGTACCAGCATTCAGTCTTCAGAGTTCAGTATTTGTTCTTTCAAAGATGTATTTTTAAATGAAGCAAATATGCTGCAGATTAAAAGGTCTAAGGAATAATTAATGTAATCTGATCTTAATTTTAATTCCAAATTTCTGAATTAATTGTTGCAGTCTAAGTGCCATATTTCTTGATTATATTCTTCCCTTTTTATGCCTAGCCAGTACATGATGTAACAGGAATGAATCAGGATGTGTGCAGGAGCAATTCTCTGGCTTTGCTGTTGCTGGAGGGCTGTCCCTGTAAGATGCTGCCACAGGCAGCACATGAATTAGGTGAATCCCAGAAGATTCCATTAATTTGGGTCTGTCTATATGAGCACAAGTGAATGCTTGACTAGAAATCATCATTTCAGTCATCTGTTTACAACCAATCAGGGACCAAAGCTTACTAAAAGCCTTTTTACTTGATAGAATAAGATACCAGTATGGAGGTCTATTAGTTTGAGCCTTTCCTCTCTAAATAGCTTCAGCTTCAGTGGAGCCATAACAGATCTGGAGAGCAGACTTTTAGGTTTTCTTCATTTACTCCTTTTGCCTTGATAAAAAAGAACCTGAATTTGGTGGTTTCCCAGGCAGGATGCAGAAGTTAATTTGCTATGCTGCAAATTTGAGATGTACTTTCTGCAATGTTACAAAATTGGAGAAGAGGTATTCATAATATTTCCATTTGAGATATAGACTTTAAACCTTTCAATAATTTGTCTTATTAATGAGATGCTTAGGTACCTGTGGTCTGATTATTTGATTATTTACATTAAATTTAAGTTTTTTCTGACTGCTAAGTTCAAGTAATGAGCTGTGATTGTTTTCTTGATTTGTAAATAGTAATGTTTTTACTTGTCTATAGCACTGTAAAAGTAGGGAGTGAAACTCAAAATTGTGCAAGTAAATTAAGTTCTGGGTTTAGCCTAGTAGGGACTACGCTAGAGAGTCTTGTTTTTTTACTAGAGGCATTGCTACAAAAATAATCTGTAGCTGAGCAAAATTATGTTTATATTTATTATTTAATCAAACATAAGATTTTGTTCTTCTTTACATTTCCAGAAATTCTCTTAATAGGTCTGTTAGCACATTATTTAGGATGTGAGTTTGACAGGGATTCCTCATTTGTAGAGGAATTGGGAAAATTCTCAGCAAGTGGTTCAGAGCAGTTTTCTGAACTCTTTACTTGTTAATAAATCTGCTGCAGAAATTGAAATACTGAATACTTAATGATGAAAACCACTTCATGAGTAAATGTTTTTAATTGCCATGAAAAGTGATTGTGCTTATGTTTGTTAGCTTTAAAGACCTTCTGTTTCCATCTGTTTATATAGTGGCTGTGCAGGATGACTGATGTTGCCAGCTGGTTACTTCAGCTCTGTGACAGAGCAGATGTAAAAAGTTCTTTGTGTATAGAGGAGCTGATGCCCTCATCTCTTGGTCAGGCAGTCTATAGATACACAGAAATTCTGAGTACATGTTTCAGTACTGTTACTATCAGTATATTGATAATATGAGTGTTAGTAGATAATCTAACCGATGAACATTAGTTACATGCTTTTTAGTGACTTTTATCCCTGTAACACCACTTCTGGTTTTCAGATGGGTAGGACAGAAAGTAGCTCTCTCTGAAGTCTGCAGGTCTTGCTGAGGTCAGTAACAAATTAATCTGATTTTAGTGACCTTTCCGTCAACATGGCTGTTCATGATAGAGGCTTTTGTCAGTGTGAAGTCAGTGTGAATGCTTCTCCTTTCTCAATTCCTTTGTCAGTGCAAATCTGTGTAAGCAGCTGGTTTGTGTCATTGTGCCATAATCTGTGGCTTTTGATTGGTATTTCCTCATTTCTAGTTTAAAAGACAAAAGAGGGCATGATACAGTTATGGAATCCTCAAATATTTGTGATTCTTATCTTGCTGTTAAGTGTGTTTGAAATTAGCTGATGAAAAGCTAGTAATTGGAAAGCTGATAGGTATACAGGCATAAATCTTCCACAGATGCACTATGAGCATTCCAGCTTTGTTCTCTTGAATAAGGTTAGGGGGAAAATAAAGTACTTTAGTCAGTTTATTTCCTAGAAATCATGTTTTTTTAAGAAAATTCCTGTCTACTTCAGTTAACATAGCAAATAACAGATAGTAGAAAGTGGTTTGCCAGGAGTAAAATAAGAATTGTTTGAAAGTAACATTTACAATTGAAATGGATATTTTTTGTAACTCTTTGTGTCCTTGGCTGTCTGGCTGAAAATTATACCCAAAATCTTTCCAGCCTGGAATCACAGCATCAGAGGCTACAAACCGGTTTCTTCTTGCTTTAATACTCAATTGGCAGTCAGAAGTTGTTGACATAAACATAGTATGTATTGTTTAAATAACAAACATTAGAGCTCTTATGAACTAGAGAATACTAGTCTCCTGTAGTGCTTTTGTTTGCATTTCTATTAGCAAAATCAACTTTAGTCTCTTTCACTTTGGAAGAGAGGTTATGGAAATCAAGATTGTTAAAATATGTTTGAAATCTTAAATCTTCTGTGAAATATGTTGGCAGGTGAAGCCCAGATACAAAGCATTAAGAATTGCCATTCAAGTTTGTTGGTATAATTGAATTTGGTATTATCAGAAAATACCAGGAGTACATTGGCTGGTATTGTTCAACACATCATGGATTTCTTGGCAGGGGTGAGGAATAGCAGGTTATGTTAGATGTAAAAGTGTATATGTGATAGCTTTTCTTGGTCATCTTTCGCAGACCTCAGGATTGTTCATGGTGCCCCCTGCATGCAGAGATCCAGCACAAAATCACTGTTGTATAGCTCATCCCAGAGGAATCTCAAAATGAGAAAATAGATCAGAAAAGGAAATATTTCTGTTTTAATTAAATTGTCTCTTCTTGAGCACATTTGAACAATTTTTGAAAACACTGTATCGAGTTTTTCTTGATTATTATTTAGTGTCTGATTTTGTCAGTGTTGGCAAGATAATGTCTAACTTACCTGTTCTACTTCATCTCTTCTGTTTTTTTCCTTTGGAAGGCAGTAGGTTGAAAGTAAGCTTATTTTGAACTACTGGAAAGGTATTGTCTCTGCATATCAGTAGTAAGAGATTTTCTGGTTTCAGAAGGGCTGGTATATTGTGGTCTTCTGATTAAATGAGTTAAAATCACTATGGAAGTCGTAAAAGTTTATCCTGGTTTCTTTTGTCTTATCGGTTTTCACATAAGCCTGCTGTTTTTCTTTAGTAAAGGAACACTAAATGGCAATCTAAATAATGTATGCTTTTAGATTGTTCAGTTATCATTAGAGGTCAGCTTTCTTGATAGAGGATGCTAATATGTCCACCTCAGGTTTTAAGGTTACATTATCATTGTGGCATTTACATTAATGTAACATTGGGCTGCCTAAGCAGAAATTGAGCTTCTTCCTCATGTGACCAGAAACCTCAAAATAATAGATGAATAGGTGAAGGGTGGAGTTAGAAGCCACTGTCCTTCACTGTTCTGTTCTCCCTAAATACTTTACCCCTCACCTACACTGAACTCATGCTTGTAGTGCAAGTCCAATAATGTTGCTCAGTTTTAGGTGCAATTTATTCTTAGATGGCTAATTCAGTGAAGGTTATGCAAGTTAAAGTTAATGGGCCTGTTAACTTAAATAAAAAAAAGTCTGTTCTGCAGTGAAACACTCACCTTTTTTCTCCCAGAGTGGGTCCTGAAGTCACAACAGAATATAGGGCACTGCCTCAGGACTTAAAGTAATTCTTAACATTTTGAAAACTAAGGTGTGATTGTGTGGGTGAGTTCTGTACAATACAAGGTTAAAGAGAACTTCCTTCAAATAATGTATGAGGTTCAGGAACTAAACAAAAAAAGTTACATAAGATGCCCTGTGCTAATCCTGACTTTGAGTCATTTGATTATTTTGTGCTTGTAAACCAGCATCTGAGACCTCAAGTAAGGAATAAATGCAGAGGAGGACAATAAATCTCATATTGCAGGAAGAGAGAATTGTAGATATAGAAATGATATAACCAGGAATGATGACTGTTAAAATCCAAGAGGTAGGGTGAAAAGCTGAGGTGAAAAGGGTAGTTTTGTATCTTATCAAAAAGGTGAAGGATTATGCACTGGGGAATGACAGTGCAATGTTTAAGGTATGAGTATGTAAGATTCACTCAGTGAGTTCTACATGTGGTTGAATGTGTTGTGCAAGCAAAAGTACATTAGTTAAACCTTTCATTGCCTCAGTTCCCATTAAAAAAAAAACAAACACACAGATGATAATCTATTCCCAACATCTTAAAAATATGGGGAGGACAAATACCTTAAGTATTGCTTGGAGCTGAGCAGATTGTACAAACTTGTAATGTCCTCATATCTGAATGAATATAGACCAGAAGTTATGGAGTATGGGCAGTATGTATTCTTAAGGAGAAACTCCTGGAATTTGCTTTTCTAATAAACTCATACAGTTTCTGTCCTATCAGACTTGAATTTCTTCAAGAAATATAGGAAAGTCTTAGTTACTTTCCAAAGTGGTAAGTCAAATACTTATTTTCTTGAAACTATCATTTTCAGAGCATATTCAATTTACTCATTTCTAGGAACAGAAATAGTGAGGTCTAATGGAACTACAGTTCATTAATTTTATGTTGAAGATGATGAAAAATATAAATGATGTAAGCTTTTGCAGCTTCTGTTGAACTAAAGGAATTCAGAGAAAGTAGGAATAGAGGAATGAGCAGATATTCTCTTGGAATAACAAGTTCTATCCATGGCTTCATCCATAAGCTACTTGAATGGGTTAGTATGGATAAAAGGAATGTTTGTCAAATACATTACATTTATGTTTTGCCAGAAGATTTAATTTCAATTGTTTTCCTACTGTATGTTTAATATATCTGAAAAGAAGTCAGTCTTTCAGCAAGTCTTCATCCAGTGAATTGCATGGTGGCAGGTGAAGAGTAGGTAATATAATTTGACCTGTGGCTGCATTTGGTTAGAAAAATTTCTGAAATGCTAAGCAAGGTGGAATTACTCAATAAGTAAAGAAAATAAATACTGGGATTGGTGTGAGTTCTTTGGGAATATGCCAGTGTAGATATGATTGTGCTTTTTTTGCTGAGAGTATCAGATCAACTTGTTGATACTGATTGTTTAAAGCAATGTAGTTTCTTGAACTTAGACTTGTTTTTGTTTTCTGTTTTTCCACTCTAGATCTTAAAAGAGCATAAAATTGAGATAAGATGGAGGAAGGTGACTTTATTAGCTCTGTAACTGCATGGATTGGTAATTCTGAAGGACCTGTTGGGAGCTGAGATTTTGCAGTTGGGCTGTTCCCTGGCCTTCCCGTGTCCAGCAAAGGAGCCCCAGGAGGCAGAGCTCTGACTTCTCAGGTGTGAGATTTTCATTCCTACAGTAAGCTCAAACCCTCATTGCATCAATGCTTGTAAAGCAGTACTTATCCTAAAGATCAGTGGCAAGCTTTCTGCCAGTAGTTCTGCTCTTGACATCTGGTTTCTGAGCTGAAAAGTCACTATTTAATTTTTAGAATAATGGGCTAGAACTATGTTACTCTTGAAGTAACATGAGTACTCTTATTAATGTGAAGTGTGGTGGCAAATTTCTGTCATGGAGCCTGGAACTCGACTGGAAAGCCAATGTAATGTGGAAAAGAATAGATAACTTCTACATTGGAACAGCTTCAGTCCCTGCTAAACTGAATTTTGAATTTTGATTTATATGAGTTATTGAGAGTTTGGAAGAAAGGAGTTTGACCTATTTGGGTAAAGTTTCCCCACATCTTTCTGTAATACTGATATTGGCTGCAGGAGTGGAATTCTCATTCTTGAAAGGTAAATGTGAGTCAGGACATTTTTTAAGGGGCTTTCATTTTTTTGGTATTCATAGTCTTAAGAAGCTGGGCTGCATTTGGAGAGGAGAAACTTTGCATAACACCACTGTTCTATCCAGCAATACAGTGTAAGTGGCTTTGCAATGCTAAGCAGTGGAGAATGCTGCTGATGGACAGCTTCCTTCTCCGTGTTTGCATGCTCCAGGAAAGCTGAGATGCCCACTAAACACTTTGTCACTTTAAGCTGACTGGAGAAAGGAACTGCATAGAATAGGTTCCAGGATCAGAACTTTATCCTTTAAACTTCCCTGGATATAAAATGTAAGTGCTAGTTTTTTAAACACTGTGTTTCCCAAGTTAAAGGGATCAGCATAGGTAAAGGGACTTGACAGCTGCTTCCCTTTTGGGATTGGAATTTTTACTTCCTTCAGAGCTGATAAAGTAAAACTTATTTGTTTGCCATATAGAAAGAAGTGACAAGTAACATCACAATGTATAAAGGAATTAAAAACTACACACTATGACTGAACAGTTCTTAATTCTTACAATGCTACCTCTTCCCTCTTCTATATTTGCCTTTTTTAATGAGGAATGCAATTTAAGTGGACATTGTTTTGGATGTTTTTCTTTCCAGCTTCAGCAAATCAAATTCTTGCACTTGCTCATTTTGTGAAACTTTCCACCAATACCCATCACTAATTATTTTTCTCACTGTGATCAGACTGTTCAGTTTTCTGTTGGCAGCTGAAGCTCATAACATATTGTTTATATATTGTAATGTCATAAAGTTCCTGTTAAGAGAAGTATGTTAATGTTTTGATTCTCACTTGTGTCTGAATACCTTGTATTTACTAAATGAATCCCATTTTTATTTTTGAAAAGATGCCTTCAATTATTTTTTAATCAGGTTTCCATCATGTACACTAAATCCCAATTTGCTGTTTTTAGATTTCTGCTGACAACTATAATGTCTTAGTGGCTTAGTTGTATGTCTTTTACTTGTCTCAAATTTCTCTTGTGCTCCAGTGTTTCATAACTGTTAACATGAACTGTTGCCATACCTCACTTAATGTTTTTTATGAGCACATGGCTCCTAAACTGGCACTCATTCAGATGATATGTTAGTTTGACCTGCAAGATAAAGTTTTACTATAAAATGTAATGTTAACATAGGTGTTGTTCTTGGAATGCAATGTCAGGTAATTCAGAATGTTAGCCAAGACAGAACAAACTGTACTGCCTCTTGAATTCCTGTATCTCTGGTCTCCAGAGATTACTAATCTCCAGAGAAAGATAATGGACCACATGTTTAGTGTAATAAACCTTTGGGGTTTCTGCTTTATCTGCCGATTTTAAAATCTTTTAAAGTAAGCTCATATAAATAGGTTTTAATGTGAAATTTATTGAAAGGGAAACCAATATATATGTATTCATTTCCTGTCATATGCTCACTACTACCAAAGCTGCTCATTTATATTCCATGTGCTTCCTAACACAAGCAAGTTAAACCTGGAGGTACTCAAATCATTAGCTAGATATAAAGAGTACTTTGATATGGAATGCATTGCAAATTCCTTGTGTTTCTTCATCTCTAATTTTGATCTTTCATGTTTTTTACAGAATGTAAAATTCAGGTGCATGTGTGTGGCGCTAAAGCACACGGAGCTGTAGCTGTCTTTCTGTAAATGATGTCACTTGACATGGAATAAGGGTGGGTTACAAAACGCTCTTCAGAGCTACCTTAGTACCAGACTCATTTGTATATTGGGACATTAAATGGGAACTCCTGTTAAAAAGATAGATTTCTAACACTGGCACTGTTGCTTCTGTTCTATGTGAAAACTTCCTGCTAGTGTTTTTCAAAAATGTTTTGAAGACTCATGATTTTAGCTTTGTATAGCAGCTCAAATGGTTTTCTGGACAAAGACTATGCTAATATACTAGTAGTCAATATTGGCCTTGTATATATCAGTCCTGTTGTTTCTGTTCTAGTGAAAATCAAGTATAGAACTTGCTACACCTGGCAGACAGAAAAGAAAAACCCTGCGTTTGCAAACATGATTGTAGTTCCAATACAGAAGGCCTTAAATTGTGAGGTGACCATTTCTTTATAATCTCTACTCTCTTTGCATTATATTGCAGAAAGAAGCAATTTATAGTTTTACTTCATAATGGAGCAGCTTCTGCATGAAGACAAATGAATAAATAGATAAATCTCTTTAGTTTCTATCTTTAACTCTTCATACTTTAGGAACTTTGGAAGTTAAAGTTTCAGGGGCATGACTGTAATACTGCAAGTAATAAAAACATTTATAAAAGTTACTGAATCAAAGGCATGAGTGAAAGTACACAGCAATAATAGCACAGTACAGATAATAATTGAGGTATTGGCTCAAGGAAAAACAGTGAAGAATATGATGTGCTTTGAGAACAAAGGTACAAGAAGGTTTTTATCAGTGGTTATGCTGCTGTGCCCTGCTGCTACACACTATGACTTAGAACAGTCATAGAGGCAGATCCAGGATGACTTGTTACATCATACCTCGAGATTTTTTATTTTATTTGAGGTGTTTCCAGTCAACTGAATTACCATGGAAAGGGGTACAGGCCAAATCAGTGTTTCTGCCATTTAATTAGTATACTTCATTCACATTTTGTTCAATTGTGATGATTTCCTTTGGTTTTTTTGGGCACGGTAGGATAGAAATTGTCATCCACAATTTTCTGAAGTATTATCAGTCAAATTACTTTTAATGAATAGTCAAAGTGCATTGCTGTCCTAAAGTCTGAGAGAAAAGGTGCCTCTTTGAAATAAGGAAATTTGCATCTAAAAAGCACCTTTGGCTCAGTCAGCTATGTTGATGGTTACTCAGTGTCACCTGTTCCCTGTTAAAGCTTAACCAGTTTGCTAAACTAACATCCGTCTAAACCATTGAAATGTAAAGGCTTATATATTGAAAAGCTAATGGTAATTTTCTTTATTTATTGTATCTTAAATTTTTGCTAGGTAAGTGCCAAAAGACTTGGGAACTTTTCCAGAAGATTCACTGTAGTTCTCATTCACTTAAAATAATCTGAATTTTTTGTCTTCGTTTCCTGCAGTGCCCTAGTAAATTAACAACTTTACTACCTACTGGCATAGCCATGAAAGAGTGTTTGACATTCATGCAGTTCTGCAGAGAAGTTGGTAGCTGTGTTCCTTCTGTGGCCACAACAAGGAGCAAGTGTGGGCAGTGAACCATCAGTGATCTTTGTAATGCTGTTCACCAGTGTACCAGAGAGTTTGGCCCAAGTCTGAAGGTTATGTTTCCTTAAGGGAGCTTTATCTCTTAAAAAATCTTAAACCTCTCAACTTATAGGTAGAAGAGCAAATCCTTTCCACTTACAGCTGAAGTGTATTCTTGGGGTGTGTGCAAAAGGGAAATATTGACATAATCTTGAAAATCCTTTGCCTTTTAAAGAACTGAAATGCTAGATTCAGATATAAAAGTCATTACTGTCATACTGACATGTAGTTAACATCTCTCAAGAATTTTGTTTAAATTACAATGCTCACATCCAAAGCATGTGTTTGAACTTTTCTTTTGAGACACTGGATCTATAGAAATGTGTAAAGCCAGCTTTCATCTTCCTGAGATAGGAAAGTACTGGGGAGATCAGCTATTGACTGGCTTGGATTGCCAGCTCCTTTGAACCTCACAGAGCACTAATGATACCACATAAAGGATGTAGCTGCACACTAGAGGAACAGATAAAACGTGCACAATGTGTCTTGGCATGGGGAGGGAATTAGATAGGGCTATTGCCATAGGTTTAGTCCTGACAAAAAGTATTTGCTGCCATTTGTGTTTGTAAGAAGGTTAAATGTTTGCTGTTCTGGAGGGATCCTGTATAAACAGGATGAAGTAAATGAAGTCATGATTGAGCTATTGGTCTAAAGGTGTCTTGTGGGCTCATGTGTCACCTGGCTTCTTCTGGAGCTCCTTGTGTAGCTTGTAGTTTTGAAAAGCCTTGGAAAATGACTTTATGTAGTGATGACTTGTGTGCTCCAAATATGACTTCTTGGAGTGAGTGACTGATTTTTTCAGTTGACAGACAGTGAACTTGAATTATTTTGTGATGCTGACAAATTAGAAGTATCCCACTTTTCTTGAAGGCAAGAGGAAGTGCAGCTTCTTTCAAGGTCTGTTGCTATCTTAACCATTTGTGGAGAGTGAAAGATATTTTCTTGGCATTAATAGATTACTTACATGGAAATAAAATAAAGTAGATTGCTTAACACGGTAAACTTAAGAATTACACCTTTTCAGTACTTTGTCTCCCAAAGTACAGAAGCAAAAGGACAGTGTTACCTATGGCTGTTGTTCAAAACAGTGACAATATCCCATTTTTGACTGTGAATGTGCAGTTAGCATCTGGATTTTCATTATACAGCTTCATCTTTTTTGAGTAAGACTTTTGTAAAGATCAGAAAATAATATTTGTGGCTTTGTATTTTAAATATTTCTTATTTATTTATTTATTTATTTATTTTCTGGTCCTAATAAGTCAAATCTGCCAGCAGTTAGTCTGATGGATATCAGGCTGTTATGATGTTTCTTTGACCAGTTACCTTGCTTTCATCTTCAGTCCTTTATTGCTTTATCCACCTCTGTTTATCAGGTTTCAGTCCCAACATACATTTTCATTGGTAATGGTACCTGTAGAAAATTTTCTGCAAACTAAATAGTTTTTCTAAAAAAAAGCCACAATGATGCCATTCTAATATTGTGAGGTATTTTAATATACTGAAGTATATGGAACAATATCTTTCTTGACAAAAGGTATAGTAGTTCAGTTGTTTAAATAGTTCTCAAGGGTTTGGAGAATGAGTGTTCTTCAATTAAATGTGCATGTCACGTTTATGTTTCTTTGACCTTTTACCTTTATCTTTCTTTTCTACTCAAAATGTCAGTGTTCTCTTTTGACTTCTTTTGTTTGTAGCAGGTACTGGATGCTCCTATCTCCTTAATTATATGTTTTTGTGTATTGCAAAACAAAAATCAATAAACGGAATTTACTTAAGGGGCCAATTTGAAAGACACAAAGGCTGTGAGGAAAGAATTATCAAGTTAATCACAAAAGCCTACTACCCTTACTCCAATTTTCAAACACAATGAGGACTATCTCAGTGGCTGAATTGGAAGTGTATAATCAGTGTTCAAATGTTTGCATTGTTTGGTTCCAAAAAATAATAATGGTAAAATAAAATGGCTGATGCAACTGCTCACTAGATGCATTTTTTTATATGATCCAAGCTTTTATTTACAGAAGACATGTCCTCATTTCAAATCCAGGGAAATTTCCTTCTAGAGCACAACTTTAGAAACCACAGGCCCTTGTTCTGCAGGCAAGTAGGTACCCTTTAAATATTAGCAATAGCAATGCCATCTGATTGCTTGCTGCCTTTGTGTATCTTAATAGTTCAGTAATAGTTATGAAGAACAACTTGCCTCTTCTTAATCAGTATTTTGATTTAACATTTTTTACAGTGTCAGGCTATGGAAAGCTTAGAACATTGATTTCTAGTTTAAATTATTTCCCTGCTGCTGCAGGAGTACTTAGGAAGGTTTCTATTGTGTTACCTAAACCATAGGTGTTCTGTATTCTAAAAATCATCTTGTTACTGAAAGTGCTCCAAAAATGGAAAAAAAAATTGGATACCTCATGTTTTATGGCTATGTACTGCTGAATACAGATTTTATGTATTTGTAAACCAGCTGTACCTATCTTGAGTCCAAATGGTATTGCAGTACTCTGGTGATAGCCAGTGAGAAGAACTAAAATACTGAATGGATTAGTATTGCTGCTATTTAACTTCAATAGTAAGTACTAATAGAAATTATTTTATGGTCAATAATAACCTAAGTGCCTCAATTAGAAGCAACTTTATATTAATTACAGATACTGCTGTAGGCACATGAAGGTTTGTGATTTTCATCAATTTTGATATAAACTAGCAGGGTTCTTGCTGTACTACCAGGTCTGGTTGACAGTGGCCTCTGTGCACAGCATTCCATGTGTTAACATGGTGTTATTATGTGAGCTAAATGATCATCCTGGGCAAAATTTCATTTGGTTAGACAGGTCAGTTATAGACAGGACTATAGTCTTTGCCTGAAACCTTGTATTAAAATTCAGATAAAAGGTAACAATCACCAAACCACAGATGACAGAAATAAGACCTGTCCTGTTCTTTTCCCCTGTTGTCCATGTGTGCATGTATGTTCTCCCACATCTGTGTTCCCTTGAGTTCTTGTTAGGTCCCACCAGCCTTGGCTACTGAAAGCCACATAAATCTCCTTGAGCTGCCATTCACTTACACATATAATCTTCTTTTAAGCCCACACAATACATTCCTCACTCTTATGTAGAGCAAGTTTGCTTCAGCTACAAGGTGCTTAGCTTGAGTTCTGTCAGTTCCATTGTGTTCCTCTCAGTATGTATTTGGACCAAGCTTATTGATTAGTAGATAGGTGCTGTTGCTATTCTATTGATTCACTTGCAGTGCCAGCAGGAGTTGTTGACGGAAGGATCACCCTTCTTTTTCTGGCACAAGTTGCAAGCAAATGTGTAACGTGTTCATCACTTCATTCCAGAGTTGTTTCAGTTTCTAAGTGTATGAAACTGTTACTACACTGCTTGCTGTTTCTTTTTTCAAAGTTACTGTACAGCTGCAGTACTTGGCTTTTTGAAAAGATCAGGTTGAATTTTGGAGGGAGATTTCAGCAGCATGGTGAAAGTGCCAGAAGAGTTTCCTGTGATGCAATCAGCATTCTGCACCAAGAAGTTTTTCTGGTTTCCATTTGGTGAGCAACTGTCTTAGTAGATTTTGTACTCCACTATCACATGGATTGAGTTGTTAAAAAATGAAAAGCCCAGCCAAATAACCCTACAGCTTGAATTGAACTGAAACAAAATACTCTGAAGATGGCTATGAATAATTCAGTTTCCTCTGTTGTAAGGTAGATGAATCAATCCTTTAATTTTTTATACTACATGTAGGAGGAGTATAAAGTCACATATGTGAATAAGGGAGGGTAAACACCAAAATAGAAGTTAAAATTTAGAATTTAAGGAATATCCTGCTTTTTATATTTGTTACTTACTGGGCCAGCTTTTCAGCAGGTTAAGGACAATATAATGTTTTCTTCAAGCTGTAGCAAATCAAAGCAGGAAGTTAAAAGAGTACACTGTTTCCTAAAATTTCAGTGTTTCTAGAGGGAGAAGTATGCTTTTGCATTATATTAGTTCTTTGTATTCTGATGCATTGCTGTCTTTTATTTCTTTGATTTTTATTTGTAGTTTGAAACTTCGTAGTGTGTAACAGACATAAACTCTTAACTGGAGGTTGAATTAGCATGGTTTACTTTTAGTGTTCAGGGCTTAAGTAAAGACTTGATGAGACTATTTAGCTGTAACTTCTCAAAACAGATTTAGGCATGTGGCTACTGTGACTGTTCAGGAATTATCGGAAGCTGAAGCTGTGTCACTCTCTTAAATTACCTTGGCATATTGCTTAATGATAATCATGGTGAGTGAATACTATTAATGAGCAGAAAAATATGGAATAAAGTTGATGAGTACTTTTAGGGATACTTTAAGGTCATGTATGTAGCATCAGAACATTTCTAGAGGGAATAGGATTCTTAAATCTATTTTTGTTCTATGTGCAGCAAATATTTTTGTTCTATGTGCAGCAAATCACTAAATATTAACAATCTGTTAATGACAGTTCATTTAAAAAACCTTTAAATTTGCATTTTCTGTCTTACTGTTTAGATTGGAGGAAATACACTATGTAGCATAATATATTTCTGTATATTAAACCTCAGTTGCAGTGCCTTGCAAATGTAAAACTTGCTGATGTAGTTGCTGTTTTTTAATAGATCATTGACCCGTCAATCAGACTCTGACCATTTCAGAGATAAAAAGCTTGGCTTTCATTGGCTGCTCGGAATAGAGCACCTTTCCACAAATTAGGAAATGGTGTAATAATTAACGGGTATAATGGATATGTGCATTCGGGTTTCAGTTGTATCTTCATGAGTTTTAGCTCCTGTTATCTTTTGTGTAGTTAGTTAACCCACTGTCTGCCCACAGATAATTTAACTACAGTATAAAATGGATTCTTTTTGTGGCAGTAGAATTTTACTAAAATAATTGATAGTTTTTTTGCTCACCTTTTAAAATCTGTAGCGAATTGTTCTTTCAGACTTTTATTTAGAACAAGGTGTAGGACTTCACTAACAAAGCTCATGATGTGAGTAATAATTCTGTTCTAAAGCAGGAAAGCAATAGTCTTGTAAACATTTTTGCATACAGAGAATTTAGGTAAACTTTATTTTTTTTCTTTCTTATTTACAGACTTAAATGATTTTAGGTACTGATGATTCCTAGTACAGGAAGGAGTTTGACATCTTTGACCCAAAAAGTCACTTGGAATTTGCCAAATATATCATTTAGTAGTGGACCTATTGCATGAATCAAAAAGTTGGCAGGGGTTGTTTACCATTCCTAAGGTAATTCATGTTTTGAAAATATAAGCTATACTTTCATTTCAAACATTCATTAAATAACAGCAATATTCAATTCCTTTGTGTGATCATAGAATCATAGAACAGCTCGGGTTGGAAACTCTTAAAAACCATCAAGTCCAAACCCTGTGCCATGGGCATGTTTCACTAGACCAAGTTGCTCAGGGCCCCATCCAGCCTGGCTTTAATGTACTGGCACTGCAAAATGTGAATCAGGAAAGCAAATCCTAAGTGTAGAGAAGTTACAGAATTGGAAAGTTAAGGAAAACTCTGAATTTTTTTGTCACTTGTATACCTTTAAGCATGTCAACAAGCAAAAGAGAAGCCCCTTAAAATGAGGGGCTGATAAATTACTATATAACTGGACATTTTCTATTTTTCACAGCTTTTTACATCATGTATTGTAGCCTTTGTCTACAAAACTTATTAACATCACTTCTTTAGGGATTTAACCTCACTATCACTTTGCTTAGTCTTTCTCTTACCTGATCACTGCTTTAGTGTTGACTGTAAATTCTGTTCTGGTTATTTATATATTGTCATTCTTTAAATAATTCAAAGCTTTCACAGCCCTGGGTATTGTCCTCTAAGAGTTACCATTTTCTGGGACTAAATTTTAATGTACAACTGCAGAAGTTTGGACACTCCAATATTTTAAGTGGTATTTATTTTGTTATGAGGATAAAAGTGAGCAATACCAGTCACTGGATTTTTAGTTTCTTTGTATTTTACCCTATCTAATTTTAGTGATTGTATATTATTTTTCAAGTGACAGCAATGATATACCAGAGATCACTATTCTGGGGTGTTTGTTTTTTCCATGTTACAATGAGCCTTATGAATGTGCAGATTTATTGACCCCTAGTGGGGTTGTTAGGAAAATGGTTACTAACTTAATTAGTGCTAAATGAAAAAATTGCCTATTTTTCAATGCTGCATTTGTTTTAATGGTCTTTTCCTTCTATTTACAGCTGGATTAGCTCTTGAATTTTTTCTGGTGTTCTCTACATCTGCAGAATTGCATATTGAAGCAACTTCCATTAGCAACAGCACTCCCAAAACAAGTAGCTCTAATCAGCATTTTAAGGAACAGTTATAGCAGTTTCTGCATATATTAAAATTATAATTATACAGCAGAAATTTAAAAAAATAAAAGGTCATCTTTTTGTGTGCTGTGTAAGTGGGCTTATTTTTAATTAGCTAGAAAAGCTAGTAATTTCTTGAGTAGTTTGATACTAGATAAATGAATTAAAGCAAATCCTGTATCACCTGCTTGAGCTTTACTGATCTCTTAGTGGTTATCAAATAATTATTATTTATCAGTAATAGCCTGAAACAGTAGTTTCATGCCAAAACAGCATGTAAAATATTGCATTGTCAGCAAACTTTTAACCATTTACTTGAAACTGTAATTTTCTGGGAGATTAAATGATCTCCTAACTATGCTGTGAAGATTTCTTACATTTATGTTAGATGAGTTAAAATCAAGTATTGAATAGTGAAGTCACATTTGACTGTTTAATTAGCAATGGTAAATGAAGACAAATAGGTCTATAAATAAACTTAATTTTAACTTCATTATAATGTGTTTTCACATATCAGAATCAGAAACTAGGTGTTGCTGTAAATTTATTTTTCTGTGCAAATTTGACAGAAATAAATGCTAAGTATTTCTGAAATAATTTCCCTTTTTTAGATTTTGTACATCTATTTTTATAGGCTTTAAGTACTTAAGTAGTGTATTTACCAGTTAAACAATGGAATACTCTCATGAATTTTAGGTGTTTTTAAAATTGTAGAGAAAAAGCAAAATCCTTTTTTTTGCATTTGCTAATATTTATTATTGTGCTTATTGCACAAACCACACTATTTAAAGTCAAACTTACACAGCAGTCAAAAATGTCAAAAAGACCTCAAATCCATATTTTTGTGGGAGCACCCAGCATTCCAAGCCCGCTGGAGGGGACAGAGCAAAGCTCAGCCCGCAGGGGCGAGGCATGGAGGGAGCTGCGCTGTTGGTGTGAGAGCCGTGGGCTTGTCTGGGGCCAGCTCCGGGCTGCTGCTGCTCCCCCTGTGCCCCAGGCACAAAGCTGCTCACCCACAGGAGCCCCTGCCAGTGGGGACAGCACTCAGCAGGGCAGGGGCACGGCAGAACCAGGAGAGGATTGGGCATCTCCTGCCCCTGTGGCACTACCTTGTACCAGCACGCCTAAAAAGAGCACAGGTTTAACTCGCTCTGATTGTCAAGAATCCAAAGATAGATTTACACCTGCGGATGTAAACCAGGCTGCACGTCAGCACCTGCCCCAGGGCTGTGCAGAATCAGCTGGACTGGAGAAACCATCAGGTGCCTGCTGCCCAGAGCTCACTGAGAGAAAAGCCCACCCTTCAGAAGTTAACAGCTCTGACATTCCTGCTTTGGTTGCCAGCACTGAGCAGGTCAGGATCCATCTGCAGTCTGTGGGACTTCAGGCAGCTCGCAGAAGTGAGCATCATGAACATCTAAGTCAATGTATGGATAAGTTTTCCCAAAAAGGTCAAGAGTCCAAACCAGAAGAACCAAATGACTGTGCAGATTTTGCAGTGTCAGCAGACACCGAATTTTGTAGTGTGGTGACTTTGAGTCAGGTGGCTTTTTTTGCACAGAATGAGATGCAGGAAAGTATTGTAAAACTATCAGAAAGAGAAGCAGGCAAAAAAGCTGAAGAAGGACAGTATGATCACTTCCAGTGTGATTCTGGTGTTGGAACATGTACTACTAATGTGACTGAAAATGAATTTGAGGAAGAGGATGCAAGTTCTCTTGAACTTTTCAGTTCTGAGGACGATGGGGAAAATGTTTCAATTAAAGCTACAAAACAGGAAGAAAGTGCCCAGGAAAATGCAGAAAAGTTTCAAGAACTTAATGTTCCTCCTGAGCAACTTGTAAATGAAATCCATATTGAGCCATTGGGCTCTGGAATACTGTGCTCTCAAGGGAACTGTTCTCACAAGAACTCTTCTAAAAGACCCCGCAAACATGAAGATTCCTTTCATCTTTCTCACTCAGCATTTAAAAGACAACTGAAATCCAAGAGAGCTAAACTGAATTCTTCTCCACCTGGTTCTGGGGTGAGAGTGGGTCCAGACAGGATGGCAGAGTTCAAGAAATTCCAAAAGAAACTATCACTGCTTAAGAATTGCTGCAGCAAAAATCAAAAGTACAATATTTTGGTCACAGTTGTACATCCTTGTCATATCAAAGAAATACAGAAGAAGACTGAACCAAAATCTTCCTGTAAAGTTCCTGTAGCAACAGTTGTTGTTATTGACCAGTCAGAAATTGAGAGGAAGGTGGTGCTGTGGCGTGGTGCTGCATTTTGGTCCCTCACTGTGTTCCCTGGGGATATCGTACTGCTTACAGGTGAGAGTTCTTCTGGTTGCCTTTTTAAAATATGGGTCTTAAAAATGCCTGTTTAAAGTAGAAGAATGTAACAAGTAATTTGGAGCTATGGCTAAGCATTTTTAAGTTGCTTTCTTATATCACTTACATCATTTGAATTCTCAGTCATCCTGCCAGTGGAACATTGACTATTCCATGGAAGTTTGCCCTCAGACACAGCCATGGAGAGTCAGGATCTTTTGTAAGGTGTCAGTGTTTTAAAACGGTTGTTCCTGAAAAGTACAAGTCTACTACAAACCAGACCTAAGCAGTGTCTCCTGGGAGGCTAATAAATTTAAGAATTACATCAAACTAATGAGAAAATTTTACTACCTCTTTGTAAATGGTGTTGGTAGATTAAAAAAAAATCCACTGTGTTTCCAAGTGATCTCTTTCAAACCCTGTGCCTTACACATCTGTATGTAAGACGGTTATATAGTCAAGGAAAATAAAAAAAAAAGAAGGTACACTTCAATATTGTTGACATGTGAGTTGATAAAGTTTTTTCTTGCAGATATAATAATGTATGAGAATCCTTGGTGTGGAGAGGTCATGCTTCAGTCAACATTTACCAGTCAGTTACTGAATCTGGGGAACTGCTCAGCTCTCAATACAGAAAAATGTAAGATTGTAGTGCATGAGTTGCCATGAAAATCACAGTAAAAGAGCTATTTTCCATTTTGCTGGCAATACCTCACACGTGGGATTAGAATGGAAATGTGTGCAACTGAGAGGTACAAAACAATAGAAAAATGACAGAAACACCTGAGGACAAGATGTGGACATGACATCAGATAGGCATGTGGAGATCATGATAAAGTTTGGTGGCTGCCACTCTGAACTCTAAAAAATCAATTTTAATTTAGGAAAGAGCAGTTATCCCAGGACCTGCCCATGTGATGTCTGAGATTGCATGAAGATTAAATGTTTTACAAAATGGAGTAAGTAGATCCATTCAGGGAAAGTGATCAATTGTAGGCCATGGAGGGTTGGAGACTGAGGGGAAAACACGGTGGAAGTATCACCTTTGTTCTTACTGTATTTGTGATGTCCACTACTGTGATGCCAGCCCTCAAGGCAGATTCTGAGGTCAGTGATCAAGAACATCTTTCTTCTTACCAAGCTATGATACAAGATATTTTTTGCTGTATTTTAAAGTGTTGCACTTAGCTTAACTTCATTGCCTTCTCTTGATACCACCCTGAAGTACAGTTTAACTTCAAATCAAGTGTTATATATCTCAGGAATTTCTTACCTTAAAATTATTCTAAAACTACTTTTTTCAGTCTAAACATGTTCCAAGTCATAAGTTTTATACTTCTAAGTGTAAAAACAAAATGTGACTTTGCCTTTTTTCTGTATATAAGTTTTTCCTCTAGTGGATGCTGGTGTTCTCCATGGCTTATTGGCATACATATCATCAGAACTTCCACACTTCAGAGACATTCCACAAAGACAAGTTCAGAGACTGGATGATGTTCGGTATGTGCAGTTAGATCAGCTCCAGCCAAATACTTTGGTTCACTCAATCCTGAAAATTATCAATATTTCTGTGTTAACAGGTAAGTTCATGCACTGGACTTCACCTTCTGCAACAGTTAGAACTTAAATAGTAATTTTGCAAGACAAAATGTTTCTCGCTGCTTGATTTCAAGCTTTGCACAAAAATTTGATCACATTGCACTGTTATTTTGAACAAGTAAGATACAAATTCCTACCCACATCATCAATAGCATGTTTATTAGTTTTAAGTGCAGAACTTTGAAGTAGAACTCTTCAAAATTTGCTCTAGTATGTATATCTTGGAACTAGATATTAATTAGATATTCCATCCAAGTGTTCTTGTTGCAAAATTATTTTTGAAAAATGCTGTAGTTCTAGTGTGGAAGTGGAACAAACATGCAGTGTCCTGGGTAAGAGCTGTGTAGAGATCTGTATGTACTGTTACTAATAGTTTTAATTTGCCTTGTACATTTTGTGCCTACAATTTTCTTTAATGTGAAAACTTCTAGATAAATGTTTCTACTACTGTATTCTACAGAAGTTCTGGGAACTTGCAATTACAATAGTTGCTGAGCAGTTGAGTACAATTTCTTTCTACTCAAGACAAGTCAGGATGAATGGCAGATGAAAGATGCTCAGATACCTCCTGCTTCAAAGGGAGTTGTCCAGTTACTGAGTACTTAGATGGATAAAAGTTAATTAATATACTTTATGCACTCCCTCAAACTGGATTCTTGTTGCAGAAGAAAGCAGGTTATTTTCTGTCCAGAAGAAATTATAGGTGTATTCTTTGCTTTTAATTGTAGCATAAAATGTGCTAACACCATGATTTCACTGTAATACTGAGTCACATGGGGTTTGTGTGCTTAAATGCTTTTTACTGTAGAAGTAATGTAATTTCAATATTTTCAGAATCTCTGTACAGCTACAGAGGTGGCAGCCAAAGAAAAATTATTCTAACAGTAGAACAGAACAGAGATCAACACTACAGGATGGTTCTGTGGGGAGCTGGGGCTGCCTGGTACCCCCAGCTTCAGAGGAAAAAAGGTAAGGTCCTTGGACCTGTTGGTAGGTCTAAAAGGGTTTTTGTGATGCTGTTAGTGTCTTTTCAGTATTCAGCTAGCTACATGTATCCATTCAACCTTTAAATACTCCCCTTGGAAGGGTAATGTATTTTTTGCTAATTCTAACATAACTCCTCTGTAGAAGCAGTGCCATCAGCAGCAGAACACTGAGAAGGCATAAATACTTAAAAACTTAAATCTATATACAAGATGCACTTACTTGTATCGTGCCTGGTTATGTAACTATAAAAATTCATGAGTGTTAACTGTGTTACTGGGTCTTCCTTATCATTGTCTGGTTTAGCATGAATTGCTGGGTTTTTCCTACTCCTTTTTTCATTTTCTGCTTTCCACTTTACTCGTGTCAGGCTTTATATCCTGATGATCTTGAGATGAAGTCCAGCTGTAACTAAGTAAAAGTATCACTTACAAGAATTATATAGACTGTGTTTCAGCAGTGACTACTACCATACTTTGGTTTATTCCTAGTCTTGTTCTTTTAAGAAAAGCTAAACTAGGTTTATGTTAAATTGATAATTGTGGAGATAGAAGATTAAAAAACAGGGACATATTAAAATATGGAAGTTGATTAATTATATGAAGATTTTTTTCTCTGAGACATTGCTAGCATTAGAGCTGACAACAAATTTCAGAGCTGATTTGTTTTTCAAAAGGCTGAGTTGTCTTGACAGCTGAATTTGTTAGAGGTGTAATGAAATTTCTGGGACAACTCATGGAAAGTTTATAGGGAAAGGAAAAACCTTACATGTCATCACACTTAAAATGAAGTTGCCAGAGCTGACCATATGAGAATGTCTTCTGATTTGTTTCTAAATCTTGTAAGTGACCTTGGCTTTCTGTAAATTAACCATGGTATAGAAAGTGAACTCTTCTGTTTGCTTTTTTGTTCTGTAGACCACATATGGGATTTCAAATACCTTTTGGTCCAGTGTAGTTCTGTCTCAGGTGACTTGGAACTGCACACAACTCCGTGGTCATCCTATGAGTGCTTGTTTGATGATGACAAAAGGGCAGTTGAATTTAAAGAAAAGTTTCAGAAAAGTCAAACATCCCTCATGGGGTTGACAAGGCTCTCGGCACACCTGGAAGAAAAATGCTCAGGTAAATGTTATCCATGGCTCTGGAATATCTAGCAAAATGGATGCTCTCTTAATGAAGCAAGATGGTTGTTTTTTTAAGGTAGCCCAGGTTTGGTTCTGAATTTTTTCTGGAGGCTGCTGCCCTGTACTTGGCCAAACTGAATGCAGCCTTCATCCCATGAGCCCAGCAGAGAGATAGGTGTGGTGTTGGTGCCATGCAAAGGCAGCTTTGGAACACAGAGGGAAATGCTGACTTTTGTTGTCCACACCAGCCAGTCCAGTAATGATGTGACTAATTACTAAAGGTTTAGCAGTGTTTCTCAAAACCTGGAACTCTCTAAAAGAAGGGTAAAATAGCTACTGCTATTGAAAACTTCTGACAAAAGGACAAAGAAGACATTTTACACAGTCATACTCTCCCAGATAAACCCAGAAGATTGCTATGGGTGGTGTTAAATTCTAGGAAGTGGTTAAGGTTGTTCTTGCAGCATTTAGCTCTAGTTTTATGCTATAAATAGTGAAAAGCTAAGTTGTTAAAGCTATGCTTTTCAGTGTCTTTGAAACAGTGGCAAGACAATAACTTGGAAATTCTTCGCACAGTTTTGATCTCTTATTCGGGCACCCTCTATAGTGGCATCTACTGATATAGTACCTGAAAATGTGGTACTTTTATACATTTTAAAATAATATTTAGCCACCAGGATTTTTCACTGAATAAAGTATCTCTAAATATTTGAGCATATGTTAACAAAGGGGAAAAAATCTAGGAAGTTCTTGATAGTAATTTTGGTTTTTAATCAGCTGTAGCCACTGAATTTGCTTTGAGCTCTAAATAAAGCTTAATTCATGTTTGAATTGTTTTTGTAGGAGTGATTCAAGTGAAAGCCCACGTCTTGGAATTGAAGTTTACCATTTCCACTGGTCAGTACAAGCAACTCATCTTCTCTGCTGACACTTCACTGGAATGTGTTTTGGCTTCTCTGCCTATGATTACATATTCAGGTTGTGCCAAATGTGGTTTGGAGCTACAGGCAGATGAGAACATGATCTACAAGCAATGTATTAGATGTCTGCCATACAGTAAAGTAAAAACATTCTACAGGTAAACAGAATAGAGCTAAAGTTGTGTGTATTATTATGGAGATAAACTTTCTCCATTTTCATTTCCCCCATATCTAAAATTCTTTTGTTTAAGATGTGGTTAGCAATCCCTGTCTCTAATGAATTTTCAAGTTGTTGTTCTTGAATTGCTCTATTATATTGTCATTATTTATACATGCTATTCTTAGTTTAAGTGTAACTTTTTAATTTCTTTGAATACTATATCATGCAGGAGTGATGTTTACCCAGTACTGTGTCAGATAAAGCTAAGATGGAGTAGAAGCTTGAGGACCAAAGGAAAACTTGAGAATCATGTTCCAGCCTAAATCTGAAATCACGTGAATGCAGAACCATGTTTTTAAACTAATTAGTCAGTTTCAGCTGTGCAGAAATTATATTGACAAATGTTTTCGATGAACATTCTCAGAGAGCAGAGATAGTGAGTTATCACCAGATGGCACTGTGAGACACATATTCACACTTAGAGGAAATAAATTAAGTGGATCCAGTTGATGTAGGTACATCTTTATTAACTAATTGTTCAATTCTCACATTAATCTTGGGCTTTTGAAATATCACTGTGACTAGAAAGACATGTAGCTAGAGAATGTTTGAGCCAACTATGGACGTGATAGAGTTCTAGAATATGTAAATTTTCTATCTAAATTTTTTCTTAAATTCTTTCTAAACTGTTTCATAATGAGCTTAATGAATCATTGACTTAAATACTATTACTTAATGAACTATGACTTAAATATCCTATTTATCTAACCAGGTAGTGACTTAGTATTTTTCCTCTAAGCAAAATAGTCTTGCATCTTTATGTGCTATTTGTTTTCCTGTGAGGGAGGATTAAGTGCAAAGAGGTTTATTCCTTAACTGAAAAGGTTCTGCCAGTCTTCATAAGACTATAAAATCTCAGTGGGCATGAAGGACCTCAATTTGCTCCTGCACAAAAGATGGTAGAAAAATGATAAGGAATTCCAGTGTTTGTATTCTCAGCATGGGAACACATCCAGATGTAGAATTTATATTTCCCTTTTTTCAGAGAAAAGCCTGACATTTTTGCACTGAAATTTTCTTCTGATTTATTTAGTAAGAATGCATCACTTTGGGAGTATTTCCAAATAGGGATTTTTATTTGTTCAGTGGTTTGTGAAAACATTTGGTATTTGTTACAGTACAAGAGATGTGCCTTGGTATTATGTGGCTATAAAGTGATGTATTAAGACAGACAACATAGGGTGATGTTGATACAGATGGTGCAATTCCAAGTGATACACCTAAGTTTATGTCCCCACTTTACATTTCCACCACCTCCTCTGTGGGCAATCCTGACCATCCTAATAGTGAAAATTTTCCTTCTAATGTCTGAGTGTCCTGTCTCAGTTTAAGGCTATTTCCTTATTTACTGCTCAAACTGGTTCTAGTGCTAGATTTGACACATCATACATAGAGATTTTATCATTTTTCTATTTCTTGGTATTATGTTGCAGAGTAAGATTAAATTGTAGTGCTTTCTAAAATTTTGCTTCAATAGAAAACAAACCATAGTAATTGACTTCATGAAACTTTGTTTTCTGATTTAGACCTGCTTTGATGACAGTAGAAGATGAAGGATATGAAATTTATGTTCATGTGGTATCTGAGTTGGTGGAAAAAATCTTCCTCAATATTCCTGCAGACTGGCTGAAGAGATTAGTAGGTACTGATTTATGAATTACTTGTGATAGAAATATGCAACAAAGTTCACAATGGAAGCAAAATTTTTAATCATTGACAGTGTAAAAAAAACAACATCAAAGAATATTTCAGCGGCTGTCTGACAAACTCAGAATTTCAGAGGACAGGTTGCAATAACAGGAAGTAAGATGATGTGAATACCTATTATATAACTAAGTAGTTGTAGTTATCTACCTAAATATTCAATAACTAAATAGGTTCCTTATGTGTGAAATAGAATGTCTTAGGAGCTTTTACAAGGAGCTAGCATGCTTTCATTATGTGAAACACTGAGATGTGTTTCAGACAAGCTTCACTTGATCCATCCTGTTTGACTTGAGGTGTTTTATATGATTCACAGGGGTTAACAGTTTAATGAGAAACAGTTTTTAAAAAGTAATTAAAAATAAAAGCTAATTTTCTATTCAGATGTTGAACTTCACTTCCAGTAATTGAATGGCGCTTCATGTTGGTAGAACTTGAATGTTAGGTGCTATTGTGAAAATCAAGTGTAAATTGAATTGTTTTGTGTTTTGCAGTGCCCTGTTCAGATATAACCTATGGCACAATAGTAGCAGATCTGTGTCATTCACTGCTGGCAGATACAGAAGCATTCTATTTGTTGGAAATCAGAAGCCACTTTGTGCTAGATGAGAACAGCTATCCTTTGCAAAAGGACTTCCATCTGCTGAATTTTCATCCTGATCTTTGACCTCTGCACTAACTGAGTAACAAAGACCATAAGGACACACAGATGGGAAGCAGAAGAAAGATGACTTAGCTGAAGGAAGCAAATCTCTTTAAAAAATTATAATAAAGGATTTGGGTTTTAACTTATGAAAAAAGCAAAACCATCAAAAGGACTGGTATGGAATATCTGCTAATAGTAAATACTGCTGGAGTAATACTGATGAATTTTCATAAAATATATTTTTATACATGTATTTTTATGTTAATAATTATGTTAATAAATTCCAAAAATTTCTTCCATATCTGTTTTCCTTTTTCTCCTCAGAAAAGTTCACAACTGTTGTGAGAGACTGAATTTTCCTGAGACCTGGCATATTAGAGGAAGACAAAGAATTCAATAATATTTTAGTTACACAATTTTTTTTGTCTTATCCCATATGCTATCTGTAGCTTGCTGATTTTGTTTTGCTGTTGTGGTTACTTTCCTTTTTTTGACAGCAGAATTTTTTCCATTGACCCTTGGCAGTTTTGCTGCTGCTCTTTTCTCTTGTGAAACAGAATTGTCTTGTAATCATTCTGCCTCCTTCAGCTCAAGGTAAGTCTCAAGCACAAGATCAGATGGATGTTACATAAAAGGCAGTAGGTAAAAAAATTGCTTGACAGTTAAAAAAACCATATCAGAACTTCTAATTTGATGATGTTTCTTGCTTTGAAATAACTCTTGTTCAGGTAGAGTCAAAAAGGCCCTTTCTCATTTGCTTCACTTGGATGACCATGAGTACAAGTACATTGGTAAGTGCATTAGAATTTGTTTCTTCACAATTTAGCTGAAATTACTGAGCACACAAGCTGGAAGTATTGTTACCTTAATGGATAAGAAGAAAAGAGGACCATACTGTACATCAGGTCAGACAGGTGACTTGCCACCTTAGGGGTATTTGTTAACAGACACTGTGCATTGCATGCATCTTCTGCACAAGCTCCTCAACCAACTGTCTGAAATACTACTAACTGCTTACTTTTAAGACCTTTAATGGTATGATTGAAATAATTAAATACAAAATTTATTCAGTAAAATACTTTATTCTAGAAATATGTAAACTGCGTGATAACTGAGTAGTTTTTCTCCCCAGAACAAACACAGTAACTTTGCTTATCAGATTGGTTTGCAGTAGTTTTGTGGGGCTGATATTTGAATACAGCTCTTTGGGGTTGAGTTGCTGGTATTACTCCTTTAGCAAAGATACAACGAGGGTTGAGCACTTTGTCAAATTCAGTTTAATGTAATGAGTTTAGGCTCATTTTGTATCCAGTGGTGTAATTAGCAAGACAGACTGAAGGTACTATGTAACATACCAGATGGTGGATCAGGGAGCTCTGTTATCTTAGAATTCCTCTGTGGTATCTTCTCATTCATAACATTTCCTTTAGGCAATAACAATATTATCAAAATGGAAAGTGGTTTCATCTCCCCAGAGAAGCCTAATATTTTTAAGGTTTTGCATTAATTAATATTGTATCCTGTTTGAAGGGAAGCTGGTTTGATTTCAGTTGTAGCGGTTATGGAACATGATTGTGCAAAATGTTTTGCTGCAGTAGTCTGTGTGTCTGGTTTATGACTGTACAGTTAGAAGGGTACAGAGCTCAGGTCCCCAGTGAACAATCAAAAAGAGAAGAATGTCCTATTTTATTTTGATTAGGAATAATTGCTCCGAATTACTTTAGAAAGAAGTCATTTACTTAATGAAGAAGACTCTGCTACTAAAACAGACACATGCCCAGGGGGCTTAAGCTAATTGGATCTTCAGTGTAAGAATGGTCATACTAGGTCAAACCAAGGCTCTTGTAATCAATGCTCTGTCTCCAGCAGAGATGTGTTTAAAGAGAAATACAAAAGGACAGGACAGGTCCTCATCTTACTGTCTCAAAGTACTCCAGTACTGGAATAGCCTCCAGTCACTTGTGACTCTGTGATTTCTTTACTTGTCCCAAAGTGCTGTAGTTGGGGTCAGCTGAAAACATTGAACTGAGTTGCTGCAGGAAATACACTGTGAACAGCTGCTTCCAGGTGTGTGACCAATAAGCAGTGCCTTCACCCTGCCTGTTCAAAAGAGGTCTAAAATAGCAGCATTATATTTAAAACAAGTTGTGCATGTATTAGTCAGTGTCTTTGGGGCTTGTCTTTTGGCATGCTCACTGGGCTTCTCTCCCCTTTGGTGAAGCCACTGTGGCGATGTGGAGCAGTGGGCAGATAGGCCTGGTGTCATCACTGGCAATTCTTGGGTTGTTTTGGGCTCTATCTACATGATGTGTGATCATTTGTGCCCAGAACTCATGACCAAGAAGTGGAATTTACTAGTCAAAATAATTAATACTGAGAGATTACATTTGGCTGTTTTATTTGCTCAGCTGCTTGTTAATTTAACATATATTTTGAAGAGAGGAAAGAGGGACTCCCAGCCTATCAGGGACCAAATCTTTTATTTGTGTTTGGTCAAGGAAATAATTAATTTTATTCTTTTCTTCTTTGGGTACCAAATCTTAGCAAAGATTTTTGTACCCTTTAGATGAGAAAGATAGATAGTAAGAGCTTTTCCATGTTAAGGTTGGTTTTTTTCTCAGTGCTGCTCATGTGCTGTGGCAGAGAGCATGCCATCGTTTAACCAGCTCCTTGGGCTTGCTGATCATCTCATTCCAGTGTTCCAGTTCTCTGCCACGTGTGTACATGAAAGGCCCAACTACTACTCGTCCCAGCAGAAGTGTTTCTGGGAAAAAAAGAAAGCAGTTAGTGATGAGCACCTGTGATGCTTCTCTGAAAACCTTGCCTAATTAGAATATCAACATGTGTTTCTCTAAGTAATGCCTTTTCTGAAAGACATTTTTAAACCAAAATATTCCTCGAGGAAATAACTCTGGACTTCAGGTTCTGTAGCTTCTACCTGCTGAGGCTCAGCATTAAAAAAGGTATGGCAGTAAGTGGGTGTTTGGTCAATGCAGGCCTGTCCTTTTGCCTGCAGTTAAACTAAAACATCTTCAAGGCTTAAATATCTGATCTATATCTGCCCTGCCCCTTTACCTCAGGTTTACTGGGGAAGTGTGCCCTAATTTTGGGCATCAGCAGCCTCAGCAGGATTCACATGATGCTCTGGCTTAGCGAAAAACAAATGCAGTTACTGAGACAGCTGGGAGCTGTGATAGGTGTGTTGCCACTGCCAAGGACCAGATTGTTTATTCATGCCTGGATTTTTCAACTATGAATGGGGAAAATTATTGAGATCATATTTGCACTGCAGAAAAGATGTTTTTCTTGTGAGCAGTGGAAATACTGAATTCTGATTTGCTTTTGTAAGCAGAACTCCTTAATGGATTCTCTGACAGTAAGAGGTGGCCTCAAGCCTCAGGTGTTCTGCCAGGGAATGGGGATGTTTGCTAATCTCTCACTGCTGAGAGAATTGAAATTCCTATTCATCTTTCAGATTTGCTTAGAAAGAGTGAACGGCCACACAGTTTTGCAGGCTTTGTGTTACACACAAGTGTTCACATAAGCTTGTTTTAATGGGATACTGGAACGAAACAAAGACACAGCACCTTGTACTAGCATTGACTAGTCTACAGTGATTTTATTAATGTCTTCCATGAAATTGAGCCTCTGAAAGAGAGAAATGTGTTTAACTACAAACAAGTTGTTCTACTTTTAAAGAGACAGCCTTTGAAATACCTTAAACCTTACAAGTTTTATGATTATTGCTGAAAAGGAGTTACTTCCTCTCAGGTTTAAACGTCTCAAATATGTAAGAGATCTGACACCTTGACTGTAATAATTTATATGACTTACTTTCTCCTTTGTTAGTCTGGAGCACAGATAGACTCAGGCTTGCTGTATCCAGCTCTGTCTGATCTGTCTTGAAACTGAAGGTTTCATTGTACACAGGATTGGGAGTTCCTAGAAGAGCTGCTGTCTTTTTACTTTTGATGAATTTATTATGGTTCATTAGTGAGACTTTGACATACACACCTTGGAGAAAAAGAAATTCAAGTCTAAAAGACATCTTCAAGAAGCAGTTGGGAGATGGCTTAAGGATTTTTTTCCTTTTGGGAGTTAGTATCAAGTATAACATCAGATTGTGAAAGATTCATGGAACACGCATGACAGCATGACATAAAACAGAGTACTGAAGATGCAGCTTTGCAGTGCACTTTACAATTTAAGTGCTGTTAAAATAAGCAGCCATATTTTTACCCTGCATTCTTGATCTTATGTTTCTGTGCCTTCCCTTCATCTGATGGAGACTTTTTGAAGGCTTAATTTGTTCAGTCAAAAAAAACTCCATAGTGATGTTTGTATATAGAGGACTATACCGCTTCTCTTTTTAAATGGTAGGTGTATTTTGCATTTATATTGTTTAGCTTCAAAGCTCTGCAAGAAATTATTACAGACTGAACTACAAGTTTGGTTCTTCATCTGTTTTTGCTTTTGAGTGTTATATTTTAAACAGCACTTTGAGGTAATCTCTGAGACCAGGGATACATGAGTATTATGTACCAGAAAAAGCCCTCTGCACTAAGGGAGAAAATTGTGACTCCATGCCATGGTCCTTTGAACAGCAGCCAGGCTGTCCTAAACTGGGATTTTTTTTCTCCCAATTCAGTTCCTCCCAGGACAGCTGTTTCAGCATAAGCAGTTGTCCTGCAGCTGTTAGCTATGAGAATTTGACTGGAGGTAACTGTTCATGTCAATGTCCCCTGAAATATTGCCTTCTGTGGACTGGAGAGCAGCAAAAGGATGTTGCTTACTGTACAAAAACAGGAGAAAAATGTTACCACCAATTGCCACAGGACAAGCTTTTTATTATGAAACGAACCCCAAACATGGCAAAACTAAGCTATCAAAATCTAATTGCCTCAGGGCAAAATATAGCTTGTTTCCACTTAAATCACCAGGATGTTTATTTGTTCCTGTCAGAGTCCCACAGCACAAGCCTGGGTGTACAGATGAGGAAGGAGCAAATTAAAACAGGAAGTGTGGAGCTGATAGCAGGGAGGAAATCCCACTTACCGGCAGCAGGGCTCTCCTCCTGGAGCTTTAATCCCCTCGCCCTCAGAACCACCACCGTGAGACGGCCCAGGTAGTCATTGTAGCTCAGGGAGAACTGGATATCACCATGCTCTGAAGGAGGCTTTGGAAGCAGAACACCACCTGTCAAATATGTCTGAACAGCTCTCATCACCTGGTCAATGGGGAGACCAATCCTTTTTTCATGCTAATGGTTTTTGTCACACTAAGGCATGTGAGTGAATTGTATTGGCTTTATTTATGCTGTTGTAACATTTGAGGGAGCCAATTAATCAGCCTTCCTAACTCTCAGAATTCCTCTTTTCCAGGGGCTGTTTCCTTGCCTCTTCTGCTCTTTTCTGCTCTAATTGAAAAGAGAAGCAAGTAACAAAAGTTTTTATGTAACGACCTCGTAATTCACATGACTTTATCTAAGCATCTGGGTACTGCCTTTACAGCAGCTATGGATCTGCAGGTTTGTAAGATGGGAATTTCAATTCCAAATGTTTATGAAGTGCTTTTGCATTTTAGGTACTTGGTAGAACGTAGTTCTACTTCAGCTATATCCTTCCAATACTTGTGAGATGACCAAAGTTCCACAGTGCCAAGCAGCCTGGTATCACATACCTCCAAGTTTTCTTTCTCCAGATCTCTCCATATGACTAGTTTGTTGTCCTCAGTTAATGCTTCATTTTTTAGTGGGAATATAACTTGGCCTAGGAGATGATGCTTATTCTGTTTATCAACATGATAAACCAAAAACTTTAGTGTCCTTTGGAGCAACATTTTACTAGAAACCTGTACAGGAAAATGAAGAATATTAATAATTATAAAGCATCTGATACTTTTCTACTCTAGCATGTCTTCAAATGAAATATTTTTCAAACGGTGGTAAGTGTACCTGGAGATTTCCTTTAATTGTTTGAAGTCTACTTTTAAAATTTGCGTCAAGTTTTAGCTATGCAGAAGTCTAGATCCAAGCTAAAATAAGAGTTCATTTGAAAGCTATGAAGTTAATTGGTGGTTTTATAGCTCATATGGATCTAGTGCTATGTGCTGCATTTACTTTCAGATTCAGGTGTTTAGAATCTGTAAACATTTTTTTGGTTGTCTGAAACACAAACTTTTGTTTTAAAGCTTTTGTCTTGTGATGTGTGCTGAAAGCCTGTTAGCATGAAATGGAAAGCTGAACAGTACTGTACAAATAGCAGCCCAGACATACCTCCCAGGTTCTGCTGTCTAGCCTAAAAAACACTACAAGCTGTGAAAGCATTTTGTCAGTATTGGCTCCTTTTGGACTTCTAGAACTGCTAGGCTGGACTGATCAGCTGTAGTTCAAACTGGAGTTTTCGTTATTCCCAGGGCAAGTTCTGTAATCCTTAAGTTTGGTACTGACCAGAAGTAAGATCAGTTCTGTAGCCCAGCATCTCCAGAAGCCCCAGTAAAAAAAAATCCTGTGTCTGATGGAAACAACTTCTATCTTGGTAGAAGCATTTTGAACATCCAAACATGTACTGTAGTTTGACAAGTTAATAGTTGCAAACAAAAATCTGCCTCTTCAAAAGAAAAAGTACCTGGAAAACAAAGTTTTCATCGAACTGTGGGTTGAGAGTTTTACGTTTTGTTTTGGACTGCAGGTAGCTTCTTTCATCAGGCAGCAGGTAGATTTTCACAAATGGACTGCAGGAATCAGCAGGAGGCTGCAGCTTTCTGACTTTGATCAAGGAGACGAGGAGCCTTTCTGACTCTTGCTCGTATTCTATGGAGAACCAGAGGCGGCCAATGCTGCCATCAGGAAAATCGGTTTCACTTTTGTCTTCAGGGAGCTTGTACAGATCTGGGTTAACAGTTCCTACAACATAAGCTCCAGCTACAAGGAAAGGCAAAACAAGCACCCTCAGATTAGCCTCAAGAACCATTGCAAGCATTTTTATAACCACTGCTGTATTTGGGTAAATCAGATTAGCCTCTTTATTAACAATCAATTTTTTGTAAAAATTTCATATTTTATTTTCCCTCAAATTTGGGGAATTTGCTGCACCACTTTTCTTTCCCTTATTCCTGGGATTGTATCTGGTTAGCTCTAGCTCTTTGTTATTGCAGTGTGCAGCTGGTGACTGCTCTTTCTGGGGACAACAGACACTTTCTGGCCTTTACAAAATATGGGAGGAGAGATTGCTTTGTCTGCCAAATGTGTAGGGTACCACTGCACTGGGACCAAAATGACTACATTCTTGCCCAATTGTCATATATAAAATATATAAATACATAGAGCACTTAGGGCTTGTGCTGTGTAATGCTATCTCTGGTGTGCCCCCAAGATATATGCTTCATAATAAAGCCACCCTACCCTGAAAAAATTTTTGCAATGCCATACCCAAAGAATGAAATGATGACCGTGGCCCAGACTGGGGGGTCATGAAAGGGTCCCTGTCTTCCTGAACCTGTTCTTCATTCGTCAGGTGAATCAAGTCTCGCCTGTGCAGTGTTGGTGGAATGACAAATGGAACACTTCTGGATCTGCTCAAGACAACAGCATCTATTGACTCTTCTGGTTTAAATGTGGAAACCAAACTTGATAAGAGTAGTAAGTTTACTGTTCTTATGTCACAAGGTAAAAATTCTACAGACATGTAAAAATAAAATCAAAAAGCAAATAAAATCAATTGCTTAATGCATAAAAGGGCACATGAGATCTTAATTCTTCTGACAGATTCATCTCTTTCCCCCTTTCCTTTCCAATTTATCTTTCAAAGCAAAGAAAGAAATAACTGCAGCTGCTTGTTTTAGAGCCAAAACCCCTGCAATGATTAAGTCTCTAAAAGAGTCTCCTTCCTGAACTGAGGTCATATTGTTTTTGTTATTAGACTAGAAATCACTCTGGAACATGGGCTGGGTTTGTCGAACTGGTATAGCTATCCATTTACCAATTACACTTGAATATATTCTCTCTTTTAAATAAATCAGGAGTAATCATCACTTTTATAGTTAGATTATCTTTTTCCTAAAGAAACAAAACATGTAATTTAGGGATCTTCTTTATTTCTGTACATGCATATATTTGGATCACCTGCTCATTTGACATTTGACAAGTTGAAATAAATTGCATGGCATATGCTTTAAAAAAAGATGAAAATACATACCTTGTGCTTTCTTGTTGAATTTCAGAATTTGCCTGATCTTGGAAAATGGCATTTGCATTTGTTGTTTTGACAGGATTGATGAGCTTTTCATAAGAAAAGAGGCAGCAAAATTTTTTCCAGAGCAGATACGCAGTTATTCCAAGGAGAACAAATAAAAGGGTCCCTCCTATTATACCTCCAGCCACAGCAACTGCTTGCTCTGTTCAAACATAAAAGCACATAAAACATCATAGGAAGATCAAAGTTAAGTATATTTTGGGTGTAGAAAGGAATATTAAAGCTAACAAAAACCATTCCAAAATTCTTTTTAAATGAAACATTCAGCTCACATGTGCATTTCTGTTTGGTAGCATGGTGCAGCACCTGAAGACACATGACAATGGCAGTGACAGAAGACAGTGTTCAGAAGCACTGGCAGTTTCTGCAATGTGAGAGACTACAGACATGAAAAAACCCCAGATGCCAAAGAATTGCTCAGGCTCTTGTTTTAGCATTAGCATTTACCTTAGCATGACAGAAGTGCTAGAGCTTGCATAATGGAAGAAAAAGAGAACCCAGGAGCACCTAATATGAAAGGTACCATTATTTTGGATTGGTTTGTTCTTCCAGCTATTAATCTATGTTGAACTGAATCTAAACCCTGGCACAAGGAACAAAGTAAAGCTTTGGGTTGTTTTATTTCTAAGGATGCATGTGTTTCCTGATCTGTGAAGTCAAAGTTAAATATCCATTAAACGCAGTTTCCTGAACTGTGAGTACTTAACATACAACAAAATCTTGTATAATTACTGTGAACAAACCAAAGTACAAATAAAACTTAATAAGTGTATTTAATATGAATTTGAGAAATTCTGTTGTGAGAATTTCTCATTAGACCAAGGGCAGACAATTGATAATGGGCTCAGTTCATTTGTTTCACATTTTTGCTGAGAATGCTGGAGTGATAGGCTGCAAAGATTATTTTGCTCTGCACGTAAACTCCAGAATTATCTTCCACTCTGTAGACATGGGAGGCAGCTGAGGAGCAGCTGAGTACTGGGTGCTGACAGTTCTCAAGGTCTCCCCTGAAACTGAAGTAGTGAAGTGACCTGGCATTTTTTCACAACTGGTACTGAATTTTTTTTTCCTTTTCTCTGCTTTTAGGTAGAGATTACTGTGATTATGCTTAATTCCTTTTTATCTGTTTATGCTTGGTAGGTACCTTACACTTAGCTGTCTCTATACAATGGTACAAGTGAAATAAAGACAATACAAGCACAAAATAATCAGTCAACACTAATGATAGTTTTGACTATCAAATAATAATAGTTTTGAATAATTCAAAACTATTTCATTTAATTTAGTTTATTCATTGGAGCTATAAAGAGTCCAGGAGGTGAGTGGCATGTACATATATTGCTGATCTTTTTCTGTGTTTCCCTGTTGTAGTAAGTGACACAAATGTCCTTCAGCTGCAGAACACTTAAGTAATTACCTTGTGCTATGAAATTAACCTGGCCATAGCGCCTCAAAGGCCTTAATCTGATCCTGACTCATTTTTCTGCATTTGGTGGAGTCACCGGAGCCAAGTTGGTTTTGCAGCTCCCCTCCAGGTGTGTTGCCTTAGGCCTCTGCAGGAATTGGCTTCTGCTTCCCTGAATCACACAATCACTCCCATGTCCCAGCACCACCACGGAGCAGCCACGGCAGTACCACAGCAACAGCACTTTGCTGCCCTTGCAGCTGGGAGGTGAAATGAGTGGGTTCCAGCATTCAGCCAGGCTTGGTACAATCCTTATTCTGAGCCACAGGAAACAGGCACCTACTTGGTGTGGGTTAATATTAATACAAGAATCAAGTTCTGATGGTTCCATGTGAGTAAATTGGTTTTCCTTGATAAGAATGCACAGTATGAGGAAATGCATATGAGCATGAGAATTTTTTGTGTTTGTTCCTTTTAGTTTTGCAGGGCAGGGCATGCTCAAGTATATCTTCAGTCAGACTCGGATATTATTGCATCTCAGAAGGCCTGATGTAGAAAAGATGTTTCAGTTTAATGCCCATGAGCATAATAGGAATTAATGGTTTCCTTAATGTATGTGCTATAAACAGCACAAATATCTATATGGCTGGTAGTTTTACTGTCTGACACAAGTGTCTGAAAGGTTAACATCTCATGCAAGCTGTACAGGTCTTTGTTTAACTTGTCCTCTTTATTCACAAGTCTTTGATGCTTCAGCAGCAGTCCTGTGTTCCCGTATAACCAGTTTGTCACTATTTACCATTAAAGACAGAATGACGAGGTGTGCATTGATTTTGGAGTAAGAGAACAAGTTTCCAGTCTCTTAGTTAATGAGTTTCTACTGAATTTTTCACTGCAGAATGATAACTGTGCGTGACTCAATTTCTGGGGTTTTTTTAAACTTTATACAGCTGTAGATAAAAGGTAAAATTTTACTTATTTCAGCAGTTACCTGTAATTTAACGAGAGTAAGGGGAATTTGTCTCACTTTTAGACCATCTTATCTGGTTAGATCAGCAACAGAACCGGTGGCTTAGGGCACAATGTAGCACTGGTCACAAAAACAAACCACTGAGATAAGTTGCATCCATTGTGTACATGGAGAAAATATGTATCTTTTAAAATAACTCCCTGTCATCATAAGAAATTGATATATTTTATCCTGCTGCGGTACAGGATCATGGCAGAGGAGATGAAGAGACCTGTCGGACCACTTCATCTCCCTCCACCCCAGCCAGGGAACTGCCTCCTGCTAATAGGTACGAGGTTTATCCTAGCATAGAGCAGGTGTTGACAGGCATCATCTGTCCCTTTTTGCTTACTGTGTGATTATATGCTTTTAATAAGCTTTACTTAAACTTTGCAGTAAGCCTTTTGGTTTATGAGCAAGTTTACAAGCAGCCCGTTCTCCAGCACGAGTTTTAATCCCCATATAAAGACACAATCTAAGCCCATGTACAGTATAAATTAAATAACTGAGGGGGAGTGGGGGCAAGATTTCGCGTTAGCTGTGGCAGCGCTGCCAGCGCCGCCGTTCCAGGCTGCTGTTCCCTGCCGGGCAGGTGCGCGGGGCAGGTTTGGGCCGATGCTGGAGCGGGGCTGCGGCGGAGCCGGCACCGCCGCCTCGCCTCCCTGCCCGCCTCCCTCCCCGCGCGCCCCCGGCACTCACCGGGCATGGGTGGGCGTGGGTGCCGCCGCTCTGCGGGCCCGGTGTGCGAGCGCCGCCGCCCCGGGGTGCGAGCGCCGCCGCCGCCCCGGTGTGCCCTCCCCGGCCCGCCCCCGCGGCGCGCACTCGGCAGGGCTGCGAGCAGCAGCTCGGACAGAGGCACCTCTCGTGCAAGAAAAGCCAAGGGACCCGCTGGAAAAAGGTCCCGCGCGGTCCCAGGCTCCCCGAGCCCGGCCGAGCTTCCGCGGAGGAGGGCTGGAGTCGGGCAGGGATGATGCTGACCATTGTGCTGCATAAATCCTGTCAGCCCTCTAAAGGCACCTGTGCGACATTGCCTGTGTGAGAGAACTCCAAAAGCTACAGTTATGCTCAGAAAAAAAATATTGATATTAAAATCTTAATTCTGAATATCCGTGTGGGAAAAAACACAAATGTTTATATCTTAAAATATGTAAGCACAAAGGAACACATATCTCGGCCAATTGCAATTTCAGCCCTTTCTATTTGTATTAATGAATGTAATGGTCATTAATCTCTGGGTGTGTAATGGATACAACCAGATCTTAACCAGCCAAATTATTCACGCATAGTTCAGGAACAAAGTATTTTCTATCACTTCTTGTCTGCTAATGTTTCTTTCACAACCAGTATATGACAAGAATCTATACCTTAAATTTAACATACTACACGTTCTTTTCACAATTGTTGCATGTGTAGTGCTTAGTGTTGTTTAATCTAATAGCCAAAGAGATGCAAAGGAATTAAAACCAGTAGGATCTTAATGCAATATCCTCTGTTTCTGTAGAATCTTAGAATTCTTTTCTCTGCATTTAAAATGCTTGGCTGAAAATGTAGCATGGTTAAGCTTTTTCTATTAATTTTTTAATCCTCTGGAAGAAACAAAGTATTTAGATAATTTTTACCCCCCCCAAAAAAAGCTTCATATATTTTAGTTTTAGGCGTGTAAGATAGTTAATTATTAAATAAATATTGCACAGTCAGCGTTTTTGCTACTCTTATTTCTCCATTGAATTACTGCAAAACTGAAGTAGAGTTTTTTTCTCAGCAGTTTTGCACTTGTCAGGATAATGTCTATAAGCATGTCTGAGGCAATGAAAAATTTTGTCGTGTGGCAAGACAACAACTGCCTGCCTTCTCTTGCAGTGTTCTTGCTTGAGCTGACTTGTGTGGCTGTGGGAGGAGTGCTGCAGTTGCTCTGAACACCTGGTTGCTTTCCAGAGCACTGATGGCCAGTGAAGTGATCCGTGCCAGATGCACTGGCTCCCACACAAGCCCTGCTGCCTGTGTGGAGGTGTGGGAAGCTGGGCAGCAATACCCAGTAACCATCTGCTGATTCAGCTCCTGTTTCATGAGCCTGGGGATGGGGCAGTGTGACCTGGAGGAGCAGATTTGCCCTCCCCAAGTTCCTGTGGAAGGAGTTAATGACAAAGCTTTAATTTTTATTATCTTCTCCACTGTGAAGTTGCCATTTCCAGTCTTTCTATGCTGAGTTCTTGCAACAGCTGGAAATCAGAATAAACACAGGACATGAAACACAACTATACCCTCCTTTATCTCTGATTGTAGCCTCCTTCTTAGCCTAAATCCCTGAACAGCTAAGAGTTTAATGTTTTGTGGACCTAGATATTGTACTATAAATATTCTGTGTTTCTGGTGCATATTTTGTAACATACACATTTTTCACTCAAATCTTGAGCTTTAAAAGACCACTTAAAAAATCTGTCACAAACCAATTTTGCAAAGTGTGTTGCCTTAAAAACACTGATGTCACATTGCTCATTTGACACCTGTCTAAGTAACAGCAAATAATTTATCATGCATTCATGTAATTCCCGCTTGACTGGGTGAAATTCAACATATGTATTTTTAAAATTGTATATCTTTGAAAAAATCTGTGAATATTTGCTTAACATATAAAACCTTTTATCCAATTCTGATTTACAATTAATTTGATTGCATGTAATTTCTTAAAGCTGTTTATAGGAACATAACTTGATAGAGGATAGGAAAGTATTTAAAGATGATACAGCTGTAGGATCAGAAGCATCAACAGGTCTTTAGAAAGTTAAGTAATTATAGCATCATTTTACACTGAAGTCTTAACTCCTACTATAATTTATTAATAATCTTAAAGCTTCAACAGATCCTGTTCAATAAAAGGGTTTTCTTTTTTTTTATCCTATTTTGCAGCCATAGAATGATGTTTAAGTCCATCCATTTCAAGTGAAATATATTCAGGTTATTCTGCCTTCACACCTACTCCCTCATGTTTGTGAATTTTGACTTCCATGTTGATGGTACCTTCATCTGTAATGGCATTTACAATGCAGTTTTGACTTCCATGTTGGTGGTGCCTTCATCTGTAATGGCATCTAGGAATAGGTAAACTTTTTTTTTCCCCCAATTAAATGTGAACTAATGTTATTGAGACCAGTGAATTATTCAGGAACAATAGATTGGGGTCTGCAGGGAGCATTGATGGGTACCCTGACTACAACAAATAGATTACATTGAAAAGTATAATTGCAAATGGCAGAAATAATGAGTACTTAGAATTTCTATAGTGCCTTTCATTTCCAGGCAACCATTGCCCGATTTCTATACCAGCATTAATTACTGGTAGTTAATCATCACAAACCTTCTTGAAATAATACTTATTGTTATTTTGATTTTATAGATTGCTTGATGACTGGAGTTCCTCCAGATCCACACTTGTGTAACTGAGATAAGAATTTCTCCCACAATGTCCTGTTGGCCTTGGATTTAACACCTAGTTCTTGGCTTTAGCAGGCTATGGATAATTGATAGTTTCAGAAAGGAATATATGAAAGAAATATCTATTCTCTTAGAAAATGCCTCTTGGATCTGTTTTGGGAGTCATTTGTTAGTTTCCTTTCCCAAGAAAAGATGAGAACAGGAGAGGAAGTTCAGCCAGGAGGGAACCAGTCTTCCACGATGGTTTTCTTTCAGCTTGGCTGTTGATGGTAGTCACCATCAAGCAGACTGCAATCCAGAATAGCTGTCCCAGTAAAATTACAGGTGTGAAATGGGGATAGAGACAGCAAGGAAAAAATCTTCAAAAGATGCCATGTTTGATGCTTCTAGATGGGCATGAGGAGAAAGCAAAAGAAGAAAGGAGAGAGGGGAAAACAGCATTAACCTAGCCATGGGGTTTGGATTCCTACTTTGGCATTTCATCTCAGCCCAGTAAAACTGATGTGCAGCTAACCTTGCCATTCTTCAGGGAGAAGCAGACAGAATGCTCTCACTGGACCTGAAAAACCTTCCACTGTTCCATCAGTTTCCTCACGGCCCTGAGCTGCTCAACAGAGCCTCGGCCACAGAAAAAAAACTGTTACAGCTTGCACAGAGCTGTGCATGACAGATTTTTTTCCATGCTTTGATAATCATGTTTTGTTGGGTATTTGAAATCCTTGACAGAGACAAACATTTTAGTGCCTTCTTACAAAACTTTTTAGCACTGTTGCAGAATACCTACTGATATGAAAGCACCTGTGGGTAAAGTCTGCATGCCAGCACTTCTACAGGATTTAGAATGTTTCTCTTTTTTTACCTTTTCCTTTAGCTTTTGGTAAGCTTTGGTGTTGCCTAATAACAAAATTTACACGGAGTATAGCACCACCTCCTGTCCAAACCCGGGCTTTGGTGCAAATAATGGAGCAAAGCAAAAAGTTCTTTAAAGGTGAGAATTTTTTTTGAATGTATAAAGCAAAATGGAAAAATGTGAACTTTTATTCCTTTCTAATGACTTTTGGTTCGTGTATTTTGTAATAGGAATTTCAGGTTTGCTTTTACTAGAATGTGTTCTTATGGTTGCAAAGGTTTTTGCTAATGTAAATTGAATTAAGAAAGTTAGCTGGTTGTTGATGTTTTAAGAAAATAAGAATACAAAATGTTCATTTTAAAATTATTTTATTAATAAACTCGAAATTCAGAGATAATATGCACAAGTAGAGACTTTTGCAGAGAAAACTACTTGTGTAGCTCTGGCTTGCATGGTTTCTAAGATTTTTTGGGGGCAATATCTGATTTTTGTTCCAGTTTTGTACATTTCCCGGCCTTGATAAGAGTAGTGTAAACTTCATAACTTCGGCAGGGCCTTGCAAGATTATATGTGTATGTATGAAATATGAACTGTTCACACAGCTGTACTGAACAGAAGTTGCTCTAAGCCAAGGCTGGTTTTTATTTTAGATAGTTTTTCCTAAGCTTCACTCTCTCTGAGTGTGGGATAATGAATTTAGGCCAGACATAATTTAAATTAGACAAATGGGGAGGGATTGCTGAGCAGGTAGGTGAATCTGTAGGCACTAATCATCTTAAGATTTGCAGGGAAGCACAAAATTGTATATGTGGCATAGCAATTACACCATTTGTAATATAGCCCTAACTAGTACAGCCTTACGGGATGCAAACTTTTAACTGAGAGCAAAAGGTGATGTTTCTTTTTGGAAGCATTTACATCTGGAATCAGATACTGAAAGCTGTAGATCTGTTTCTTCGAACTTAAAGATGTTTCTGCAGGCATGTGCACCTGAAACTGCTCTCTATATAGCAGCAACAGATTTATAGGTGTCATCCCATACATTTTTGTGTTTAAGTTGCCCAAAAGCCTGGAAAAGACTGTAGGGAGATCTTGAGGGTCAAAGATGTAAGGAAAAAGAATTAAAATGCTGATTGTAGGAAAACAGGAGTAAACCTTTCATATAATTAAGTCATTATTCCGTGTGGGTGAGGCGATGCCTTTGTCTTTGCCCAGTGGCCAGGAGGTGGCCAGCGGGGCCATCCTGGGGCTGTCCCTGCTGGATTTCCTCGGCAAGGGGCCCCACAGGGTGGTGCTGGAACGTGACCGAGCTCACTGGGACACAGCTTCTGGCTCTGCCGGAGCAAAGGGTTCCGTGTGAGCAGGAACCCCCTGGGGCACCATCCCACCTGCAAAGGAACTTGCTAGAAAGAGGCACTCTGCCCACTCATACACTGCTTTTGCAACAAGTCATGAGGAATGCCTGGTCCATTTACAGAGTATTTATCTTGTACTGATAGTGTCCAGCATGCATCAAAAACATATGATGATGTCTCCTAAATATCTCAATACCATGGGGTTTGGCTCCAAATACTTTTGATTCCAGTTGATGTCAATCAGTTTTGGTCTGTGTAGGAATCCTTGATACAAAGGGTTAGAAATTAAATCGGGTATAGGGTACTTAATGAGTGTCATGAGGGCAACATTGCAGCAGCTGTGTGAACTATTCAAGTGGCAGCAAAAAAACCTAGACAAATAAAAAGACCTAAGCAAAACAACAACAAAAAAACCTCCCAAAAAAACCCAAAACAAACCTCCCTCCCAAAAAAATCAAAAAACAAACCAACCAAAAACCCACAAAAACAAAGCAAAAAAACCCCAAACAACTCAAAAAACTCAAAAAGCGTTGATTTGACTTGAATCCTTTCAAAAATCTATGTTAGAGCCCAGTCAGGAAGGGATAAAATAATTGTGTGGTAATCACTAGAGTTGTCTCTGCTGCAGAAAGAATTCTGCACACTGTTCCTGTGGTTAGCTCTTCATTTAAAATAGATGTGAGAATGTTCTAGGAAATACAAGAAATATGAGAAGGATGAAAGTAAATCTTTCAAGCTAGGAAGAATAAGTGTCACTGACACAGATATTGTTGCCTTGCTTTACTCAGAAAAAAAAAAAAAAAAAAAAGAGGTCTAAATGCTAGAAAGCAGTATTTTTTCTCTGTAGGAGCTAAGCAAACAATTCCTTGCCTTTCCCAGTCTGGGCTCAAATGGCACATGCTGTGGTTGGAAATGCTAACCTGAAGGACAGCTGCACACCACAGGTGAGCTTATTATATAGCTTCATTTGTATGCATGCAGAAGTACACTGGTTTTGAGAAATTTAATTGATACCTTTTTTCCATTGCCAACATAATTTTTCCTCAAAGAGAATGAACAAGATCTCTGACAACCTGTTTAGTGGGCAACCAGGGGTTGAAGGATGGGAGAGGGTTAAAGGAGATTTTCTTTAGATTCCTGAGGCCTATGAGTCAGTATGTCCATGAGCAAAGGTTACATAAACTAATAGATTAGAACAAGAATTAGTTGCATAAACACTATTACTGCATTTCAATCTGTCACAGAGTCAAGCCTGCAGATTATTGCAGGCAGAGCTAGCCTGGGGCTTGCACTCCATCTTGCTGGACTGCCTCTGCCACTGGATACATTTGAAATAGCATTGTTGTCTGGCTGTGGGGTTCCTCTGAAATCTAGGGCTTAGTGCAGCAAGCTTTATTTAATATACAGTGGTGTTGCTCTCAGCTCCTGTCTAATTTGAGATGTCAGTCTGGTATATTGGCTGTACAATAATTTTGCCTGTTTTATTTAACCAAGGATCATTGTGCCTCTTACGTGACTGGTTCACTATAGGCAGCCCCAGGGACTAGATTCAGACCCTCTTCAAATTTCCCTGCAACTTTCCTGAAGCCTCTGACACTCTTTCTTCCATGATACTCTCTCCCCAGAATATCCTGGATGAAGTCAGGGAGACCAATATAAGCAGCTCCTGCTGCATGGGGAAGAAATGAAGATGGATATGTTACCCAGGCCTGTTGTCCAGGGGAAGGGAGTCTGGATTTGGAATTTTGGGTGGACTGGAGCTCATTCACAGGCTGTGAGACATTATGATGCCTGTGGTCTGAGTTGTTTGGGAATGTTGCAGGTCACATGGGAAAGCAAAGCCTTTCTTGGAGCTGCAGAGCTGTGTTTTTTCAAAGTGCATGAGGGCAAATTATTCTCTGAGGCTGCAGAACTTTCCTCTTGTGTAGTGTTTTCCTTTGCACTTTCCCCAGCTTCTTGCTGATTCCAATTCATCATTTTACATGTGAGAACTGAGGCATCAGAGTTTAAGTTTTTATTTGGATGCTTAACTCCCATTAAGTAAAGCAAACTCTCTCTACAGCAGGCTTTTTTCATAGCCCTCAGCCCTGGGCACCAGTTAACATCTAGAACAGACTCTGATACTTTGTTGTTCAAAGACCAGGTAATTTTTTTGTTAATGACACCATTTGCAAAAGTAAACCAAGGAGGCCTAGTATCTACATGAATGTAGTTTTGTAAAAAAAGTCAGATTCAAACTTGCAGGAGTGTCCTGCAAGGTGGGCAAGTCACATAAGGACAGAGTTAGTGATGACTTCTCACAGTGTGGTGTTCTGCAGTGGGGTTTTTTTCTGGAAGCAGGCCCTGGGAGCCCTACCTGATTACATGGTCCTGGCTTCCCTCCTTTTCAGTTGGGAGTACAGAACAGATGGAAGACTAGCAATCAAATGCAGGGCGAAGCTGAACATGTGATTAAATTATCAAAAGGCCAAAGCCCTTATGCATGAAAGGCAGCTTAAACCTACCCCAAAACTGGCTTGAAGGGTTGATTTTTTTTGAAATTATTTATTGCATTTTGCTAATGGATATTAAAGAAGTGGAGGGAAAACATTCTAGTGGTTGTGCATGGGAGGAAATTATATCTGTGAGAAGTAGAGCAGAGTCTTCATGTGATAGTCCCCTGATTTAAGAGGAGATGTAAGGTTTTGTGCAATTTCATCTTTGGCTTATTGCAAAACATGCTTTAAAAAGGGAGCTTGTTTTCATTCTCCATAAGCTACTGTTCTATTTGATAACCAAACTAAAAATAGTGCTTTGTAGAGATTTGCTAAGTCTTTGAAGTACATGAGATGGTTTGTACCAGTGGGCTGCCTCACTAACTGCCAAGGTAAAATAAAGGCAAAAGAACTGGTCTGCTTTGTTGAGAAAGCTGCTCTTGTTTCCAAGATGAAAAAGAAAGGAGATGACAGAGCTCAAAACCACTAATTTTCACAGGTCTAAAAATTCTGACAGCTTTCAAAAATATTAATTCTGCAAAGAAGAGAAGTGCATCTATGTTGCTCCTTGAAAAAAGTCATGTCAGTAGTGTTACAGCATTATTCCCAATGAAGATAAATGTAGGTGACCTGGCAGATTTAATGGAGACTTTAATGAGATAAACCCACATAAATCATCTTCCTTTCCACAGAAAAATAAAACTGCAGAATAGAGGCTTATTCAGAGACCATGCCTGCTATAACTGGGATGTCTAACTAGCAGTTGTCTTCTCCCAGGCACAAGAAGCAGAACTTGTCATGATGCTTGCTGGATAGAAACACTCTATATAGTGTTTACATTTATATCCAAAACTCTATATAGAGTGTTTATAGACAAATTAGGTTAACAGATGCGATAGACATATGGCACATAGCCTAATGGAATATTTGTGGTGATTAATTGGGATGTATTGGAAAGTTTGAAGTTAATGTGATATCACTTACCTGACAGAATTGCTTTTTTTATGGAACTCTGTTAGAAATAATCCTGCTGTTTATGTCAAATAGGTGATGCTAAGTTTCATGTTTTTAAACAATCTCAGGTGCATTTCAGTTGCCTTGAGTGTGTGTGTGAACACTTGCTATGCCAGCTCCTACACCTGACTGACTGGAATTATTTTGGGGTGTCAGTAGAAGCAAAAACTGAAAACTGGCACAGCATACAGAATACCAATTCTAAGAAGGGAAAAGGATTATCTGGAGTAGAGAGCTTCTGACTGGTTATAGGCATATTAAAAGTTAAATTTGCCTATGGTGCATTAGTTATTATCTTGAAGGCTCTCTCAGACTCTGCTAAGGGGCTGTTATTCTTCAGAAACACTAAAAAATGCTTTACAATGGAGAAATCCAAACCCTGCTCCAAATTGGCTGTGGCAGATGACATTCAGGCAAATGAGCAGTGTTACCCACAATACAGCATATTGTTCCTGGAGGGCTGCCTTATTGTGGAATACTAGAACATATCCCAGAAATGCATTAAGATAAAATCTGCCTGGTGAAAGGTGCAGTTTCACTGGCTTAAGTGGCTTTGAATCAACAGACAACAAGTATCAGCCTTCCAGGGTTTCCATGCAGAGCCTCCAGACGGAGATGTAAATAAATTTCAGACAGTGTTTGTAGGCACTCAAACCTGCCCCACAAAGAGCAGCAGAGCTTGGCAGGTTCAGGAGGAGTTCAGAAGGCACGGTCTGGGTGGGTTCAGGTCACCCACCTGGCAGGGAAAAGTTGTTCTAAATGACAGCAGACCAGGAAGTGCAAGAAAATACTGTGGGGTTATAAATGGGAAGGGGTGAGAGAAAGACTTCAGTACCTGGTTTTTGGAGGCACCAAGCAAACAGGATGATTTTCCTACCCCATTTCCTCTTCTGAAGAGGAGTAGATGGCCAAAATAGCCAGTGGATTTTAGGTTAGATAAAGGGATTTTGGGTTAGGACTGGACTTCTCTTGAATGTAGAAGCCCTGGTTGCCTGGATGGAGACTGATAAAAGCTGGCCTGCAGGTCCAAAGCTCTGCCTGGGTGGTGCCCTTCTTCAGCAGGCAAGCAGAGCTGACCACCACTCCTCACACCAGGTGACTCAAAGTCAGGGGGCTGGTGGCTTGCTTTCACATGACCCTCAAGCACCCAAACCAGTAAACAGTAATTTTGAAAGCTTTCTTTCATGACTGGGCATAGGACTTTAATTTCATGAAATTATACACGTTCTCACGTGTCTAAGCCCTGGGTGAAGTTCTCAGGAAAGCATGCTAGTTAGGCTGAGCCACAGTGGCAGAACTGTTCTGAAATCATTCTCTTGAAAAATAACACTGTCCTTCTCCTCAAAATAATTTCTTCAGCATTGTCTGGATTTGGGCTAATGGATCTGTAGGCTACTGATTACTCAGCTTCCTTTAACTACCAACTTTCTTAAAGAAAGATACAAGAATAAATTCCCCAGATCTGAATTTGAGGCAGTTTTACACCTTTTCTCATCAAGTGTAGAATGAAAAAGCTGTATGCCAATTGCATTATGGATGCCCAGATTTGTGACCTGTTGATGTAAAAGTTGGTCACCAGTATCTTCCAGTAAGCACATTTGATGCTTTCAATGAAAATAGTCAACCTTGCTGGACATAGAAAATCTGGGACAAGAAAGCCCTGCAACTTCATTCTGTAAAGGGTTTAGGGGAAAAGCTGAGTGTACAATATTGTCCTCTCATCTCTTATATGTTCTTGGGATGTCCTTTGGGCAACGTGGGAGTCATTTGGAAGATGCATTGCATACGGAGTTGTTCCATGGCTGGCCACTGGAATGTTGGAGCTACAGGTGCCAGGGCTGTGTCTCACCATGTCAGCCAAGGGTCTTTGGCTGGAATAAAAAAGGGAGATGTAGAGCTGCCCTCTCCCTGCAGCACCATTGCAGTCCTGTACCATGGGATGGGAAGAGTCATCTGGGCATGATCCTGGGCCAGCAGGAATGCTGATAAGGATGTGCTGGAAGGAACAGGTTCAAGGAACTTCTGTTTCCAGCCTGGCAGGAAGGATGTCAAGGTCAGCACAAAGAGCTGACTGCAGATGCCTACTCTGCTTCACTGCTGTAGCACATGTCAGGTAAAATAACCAGCCAGAAAGCTGCTGCTGACCCGTGAATGGCTCTTAACCCCCACAATGCTTCCTGACCTGCAGCTCGAGGGTGTGATTGTTCAGTGAGTCTGTGGGGTGTGCATCTTGGGAACAAAGGCTGGAAGCACACAGGAAATTACAGGAAATTTGCAGCCCATTTTAAAGACTCAGGGAGCAACTGTACATTCCTAAAAGCATTTGGGAGGGGTATTGATCCCCCTCTCTCAGCTGAGCTAGGCCTGATAGGAGGGTATTGGAGAAGGCTTAGGAACAAACTGAGAACTGCTGTAAGTAATTTACAAGAATTATTAACTGCTTCTTGAACAGAAACAAAGACGACTTGAAGAGGTTCTTTTCTGATATTTTGGCATCCTTCTCCTTGCTCCATTAGAAATCCAACCATCCTCCCTTGTGTGAAGTTCTAAATGGAGGGTATAGGCCAGAAAAGAATAGAAGCAACTCACAATGTGGAAACTTGAAGTGATCATCATGAAAGGACTGAGTGTAGCCCCTCATAAAGGTGAGCAAAAGAGGAGATTCTCTACAAAAAATGGGCCACTGTGGATGGGGACAAGACTCCTCTGGTTACACTTGTCCTTGATGTTCCCTGATGCACCACAGGTCACACCTGGCAGCCTGGAGGAGCCGTGTGCCTGTGTCCTCAAGGCAGGGTGTTCCTGTTGGGTGAGGAAGGGGTGGGAATTCCCAACAGCAGCACCCTCGGGACCCTGCCCGTGCCTGGCTGAGCCCCTGTGCCAGGCCGAGGGCAGGACACAGCGCTGCTTCCGAGTCTGCCTGCAGGGAGGGCAGCCTGGGACACCCCGAGGGCTGCAGCACGGGGGCTGGGGATGGCCACATTCTGTGGCAACTGTGAGCCCAGAAATTCCTGTGTACCTGTGCCAGGTGAGGGACAGGGCATGGCACAAGTGGGAGCCTCGTGGGAGGGCAGCCTCAGCTGCGAGCACCCCAGTGTGTGTGTTGACATGAACTCCTTGGAAGTCACTTTGGTTCAACTAAGATGTGGGTACTAAGTGGAAACAGGTTCTGGAAAATGGCTTGCAATAGAAAATGGTTTCTAAATTGTTTAGCACAATCTAGATAATTATCTGTATCATACTGCTTTTTCCATTTCTCCCTGCTCAGAACAATCTCACTCTTTGCAATCCACGGATACATCCTTGTTCCCAGTCTGTGCCCACAGGATGGATGCATTCTGGGCTTGGGGTTTGATTTATTTTCTTTCTGATTGTTCCACGTTACCAGAAGCAATGGGTATTTCCTACTGGTGATTTCACCTTTATGTGAGGGTTGATATTGAACACATACCAGGATGCCTTGGCCCAGGAGTCAATTCCTTTGTATACCTTTTATAATTTTCCTTTAACCCTTACAATTTTATTCCTCCCCCTCTGCTCCTCCTCTTCCTGCCCCTGTGTGCCTCCCCTCGCTGTGCTTCCCTGGCGGCATTGCCAGCTCTGCACAGGCCCAGTTTCTCTAATCAGATGAAGCTGCAGGATTATCTCTCTCCCTCCCTCCTAGGCTCCATTTTATTTCCTCTCCGGCCAAGGGGGGTGCCAGGAAGGCAGAGGGAACCCCATCTCCCAATCTCCTGCCTTTGACTCTCTCTAACAATCCCATCTCCCTCCCCTTATCATATGCTCACCTTAGTGTCAACAGCATCAGGCAGATCAAGGAGACGAAATCTGACCTCCTTGGGCTTTTGTTCTCCTCAGATTTCTGAGCATCTGTTTTTAAATACCCTCCAAGTCACTTGTGCAGGGAAGCTGGATGTGCAGTCTCTGAGTGGGGGGAAGGTAAGGACCACGGCAGTTCTCTGGCTCCTGTAAGGACACCGAGTCCTCTCCGCTTTGCCAGGAGGGGAACAAAGCAGATGAGGGGAAGGGAAGGGAGAGGAGCAGCACAGAGACAGATCCAGGCTTCTGTAAGTGCCGTGTTGGCAGCAGGGGGTTGGTAGCTGGACTGAAAATCCCAGGAAATGGTAGCTTTCTCTTTTTCTGAAATGATGGGAACTATGACTCTGAGCTTTAATTGAATTTAATGTAGTTCTGTAGAAGGTGGGTTTTTTTGTGCTGATGTCTTTCACTTACATGTGTATGTGTTTGTCTTTTAGTAAATATTTCCAGTGTATACATGTCACTGTTTCTTTAGGGGAGAAAAATCCCATAAGCTTGTATCTGTGAGTTTATGAAGGTGCTTTTTGATTATCTCTTGAGTATATTTTAGTGTTTGGATACTAAAAATAAGAGAAAAGTGTAAATTTTATTGCTTTAAATTTCTTCCTTTTAGTACTAATATGCCAGAGAATCATTTACCTTACTGTTTTCCACCATGTGTACCACTTGTTTTTTAAATTCCTAGGAATATCCAACACTAGAAAAATCTGAGGAATATTTCAGTGCTTTCTGCATATCAGCTTTGTTTTGCACTTTACCTTCCTAGATAAATGGTCAATTGCTATTTAAAATGGCAAATAACATTTTTCTCTTAAACAAAAAAAAAAAAATGTTTTTCCCAAAGTCACAAATTTGATTTGGTTTGGCTTTTTATTGTCATTAGATTAATATTTTATATCAGAATCCTTAGAAGGCTATTTTCTGTGTCTGTTGTGATTAAAAGCAAGAGTCTGTGCTGATACACTCCTGGATTTTAGGGGAAGAGGGAAAAGGGAGGGGGAGCAAGCAGTTATTTCCATTTAGAGAACTCTAAGCATGAAAGGTGATGGGAAAGGAAAGATAAATACATTTTGCAAGATGTTTATCTCAGACATAAGTGAGATGGACATCATATAGATCAAAATCTACCTCTCTTCCATTGACTCATGCTTCTAAGTAATAATCTCATACAAAATACAAAACTATCAGTGGTTTTCTTGCACCAAGACATTGATGAAAGCTTGCAGATGGTTGTTTGCATGTTTTAGTGTATGTCTGAATGTTTGCAGGACATCAACTGTAGTAAGATCTGAATTCAGAGACCTCTGCATGGAGTCCCTGTGTAAAACAATTAGGTTTTGAGGAGTTTTCATTCAGGAGGGTGGATTAGATGAGGACTTTGTGTTTTCATGCCATGTCTTGGTTACTTCATAAACACGTTTCTACTTACTGGGTTTTGTCGACTTTTATTGTCCAGACATTCTATCTTAACTGTATTTCAGGGAAAGCTGGAATTGCAATTCATTTTATCTGACAGTTATTTAGGGCTGCATAAACAAGAGCAGTAAACTGTATATGGCCTTGTAATGTCAGAGTTGGTTTATAATATGAAATGTGATAAATTTCCCTCAGATAACCATGTCAAGTTCACATTTTTCTTTCCATAGTGAACTATGCATATTCAAACTGCACTTGAAAAATAAAAATGTATGAGGGACGGTAAAATGGGAAAACTGTAATTGATGATCATTAGACTTCTGAAGTTGGATTTTCTTTCTTTCTTTCTGTTAGGGCAATGACAAAGGGTAAATTTGATGTAGCTTTTAACTTACACTGCAGATGAGCAGAGGTATTTGCTTGTACCAGTGAGATACTGTTACACCTGACTGCAGGCAGATTATTTCTGAGCAGAACTGCAACAAAATCCTGTTTCTTCTCCAGTGGACTCTTCTGGAGGTTAGAGAGACTAAATTGCTCATTCCTTTGCCCTGGAGTTAATGTTTTTTAGACAAGGCTGGGAGTGTACATCATATTGCAGGCTGTTACACATTTTGCAGGAGAATGCAACCTAGGAATGATGCTTTCCAAGGCTAGGGACTTGAAAGAGACCTGTTAATGGTATTTGTTATGCAAGTATTTTTTCCAATGAATCAGAAAAGAAATCTTATTTTTGTTATCATACCAATATTTTTGTTGCTGCAAGTATCTTTGGCAGGTGTGTGTGATATTTCATTGCTTCTAGTCTCAAGCCCTTTTGGCCCAAGAGCAACAGTACAGCAGGAATCATAGGCTGCAAGTGATATTGCACTTTACTTTCCTTGTCAGCCTTGAACTCTTTTTTTTTTTTTTTTCCTTAAATCATTTTCCATGGCCATGAGCCATACTATAGGGACTGCAGGCACTGGGCTTTTAGTAAATTCTTGCAGCTTTGTTGTACAGAAATAAGAGGTTTTTAACTGGTGTAAACAGTAAAGCTGTTTAAACAGCTAAACAGTATCTCTCTGGGATATTAAGATCCTGGAAGATGTGAGTTAAACAAATTTTGAATAGCCATTTTTTCTTTTTTTTCTTTTCCAGGGGGGTTGGGGGCAGTGTTTCAGTTGTGAGAGAGAGAGATCTTTTCTGTAAAAGCAAAATGAGGAGAATGAAAAAAATTGTGGAGTACAGTGGTCAGGAATATTTGCATGAGGGATACAGTGAGAAGGCAGTGAACTGAAAGATACTGCTGAGCTTTTCTGAGATTAAGATAATTTGATGCAATATTTCCTATGGATGCCTCATAACAACTAAATTAATCTATAGCTGTGCAGCTCACAGTCCATCTGTATGTTAAGAACTCTCCTTTAGGAGTATCCCCCTGATTGCTTAAGAGATTGGAAGAAGATGGCCTCTTCCATTTATAAAAGCTGTTAAAGTTCTTCTGAATAAAGTTCCACTCTGAGAAATTATCCTCAGCAACAAGAACCACAAAAAAATATCACTTTGGGGCTGCTTAGGTAGGTGCACTCAGAGCATGGGAATTGGGTCAGGCCAACTAAATGAAGTTGACATCAGCCAGATCTTTCTTAGTTTGGTGTGTGAGCATTAAGCATGTGAGTTATAGCCAAGCATTGTTCTGCACCAAAAAAAGCTTCATAAGAAAGATCACCTTTAAACTGGCCTGTCCCTGTGTGGGGAAGTTCTTACAAAATGATGGCTTGACTTGTGCACAGTGTGGACAAGTATACAATACAAAGCAGAGAAAGGAGCAGGAGTCTTTCTCCATCTGCAGAATATTTGCTAATTAAGCTTTAGCAAGGACATACCTGAGTGTGCAAATGAAGGTTAATGGGATTGAGCAGGTGTAAGACCTTCATTTGACTTGCAGAGCTTTACTCCAGTCAACAGTGTAGAAGACTGACAGAAACCAGTTCATCTGAGCTGAAGTGAAAGATTTGACTACTTTCCAGCTCAAGCTAAGCAAACCTGACTTGGAAATTGGAGAGATGATGAATGCACAAAGCCACCCTAGATCTCATAAACTGAATTTTTTAGAAATAATTTTAAAATTATTGCTTTCTTTAGAGAGTCTGCTGGGAAAGTTCAGTGTTTGTGACTGAGCAGGGTACATCAGTGCTTCTCGAAACATCAAGAGAAAACATATATCTTAGCAGTTTTATAGCAGTTTTATTTGGTTCTCAATGGCCTCCAAACTGTGAAAGGGTTGGAGTGATTTTGTTGATTTAGTAACAACAGAGGTGCTAATGGATTGGAAAGAAACTTTTGGAGTCACTGTCTCTTTCGTGTAGAATATGGGGATCACCTTTGTGCTTCCTTTCCAAAGTCATTCCTGTCTCAGCAAATGGTA